CTGCGTCCTTTTGCACAACAATCTTCATCCCTAATCCAGCTCGTGAGCCAATCTGAGCCCATCCTCGGGCCGAAGCGTCGTGTTGACGTGAGAGGCGAGTCAGGTATTTGCAAAAAGCAAACACAAGAGCAGGGAAAAGTATCCTGCAAGTCCATAATGTTGCCATTTGGAGGAAAATTATATCGAATGCGGAGCATCTCGAGCGCCCCACACCCCAAACCAATATCCGAGCGCCCTTGTCGCCTGCGGTGGAATCGGTGCACAGATATTTAATGCTCCAATGATTGTGGTCATATCACATAGTTTGCAGGGCCCCGATGGGGGCGGCGCCGGGCGTCGGGTGTAATGGGGGGTGAAACGGTCTGGCAGCTGTGATAAGAACGACAAAGTCCCAGTGGAGGCGCCGGGTTTAGTGTTCCAACATGTGGGATTTTGACCTGATAACATGTTATGAATTATTTTTTCCCAACACTCCGCATATTCTCCACTTCGGGACGACAGAATCCGGAGGCTACAAATTATGTGGATTAAATGGAACCGGGGGTTAACCAATTTGATGGGATTCCAGTGACAAAATACACCATAAAAATCACACCATACACACACACACAGCTCGGCTCACAAGACATCAACTTCACTCACATAATTTGTCCGATCAACTTTTATTACTATGATATTTACTTTCCCATGGATTAGTTCGTGCTACTACATCGTCAATCCTTCGGGAGTGATGGTGTGTGAAGTTTGAAAAGCCACCCTCACACACGCGACGCCCTTTTCCCACTTCCTCGTCCTGTCCTTCAGTTGGAGGTTTGACAATAATTTGGACTCAATTAGGATGACTTTTTTCCTCCCATTTTTCCACACAGAGTTCTTTGATCTACACGAGAGACATAGAAATAGCACACTCACAATTTCCCTCAGTTTTTTTCGCTATTTTTTCCCTCTCCCTCCCCCTTCACAGGCACAGTGAAAGAGACATTTTCTCTCGTAACCCACTTTCTGGGAATGTCTCATCGTGTTGCTGAAAGAGTTTCCCCATTCTCAATGGTAAACAGATGAGTTTCTAGTGGGTGGTGACGAAGAAAGACAAATAACTCCGGCAAAAACGTAAAAGCTTCTGTATGACGATTTACAGTCCAATTTTCATAAATTCCCAGTGCTTTCGCCCCACTCCATGCTGGTGTGTTTTTTTTTTTTTGATCTTTTCCAACTCCCGTCGAATGTTGTCAGAGTCAAAAGGAATTTTATGAACGATTTTACGGACGCAACACCAGAAATAATAATAGTGGAAAAAAACAACCCCCGCTTTGGATTTCTGCCAGGAATTTCGTGGCTTTTCATTTCCCCAAAATCTCTTTTGCCAGTGATGTAAAATGCCTGGGCAATGTTTCAAAGTACACCAGCACCATGCAATCTAGCAAAAACGCACTGGATAAATAATAGTGATGATGGTTTAAAGCATAAATCACTTTGTGAATAATTAAAATTCAAGTGGATTAAGATTTATATTTCGCTTTTGATGCACTCAAAGAGTCGTTGACAATAATAAATTCCTTTTTCCCTCGAGTCAAGCAATCTGTTGATCCTTTGGCACTCGATATCCTTGAGAAATGTCTGAAGAAGTCCTCTGCAAATCATTATCCATCCACCTAAAGGGACTCTGTTGCTGCAAAAGTGCACACAAGAATGACAATGAATCGATTTGATGTCGCCTGAAGCATTGCAAATATTCCCCGCGGAAGCTTTCAGCGTGAGAAAGAGCGTCACTTTTATTGAGAGATACAATTGATTTTCCACGTGACAACACTCAATTCCCAAGTCGATGGAGAATCTCTTCTAACACTTTCTGACTCTATATATCTCCATCTTGCATGCCTTTTTGCACCGCAGAGACTGAGAGAAAATACTTGACAATGATGGCGAGAGGAAGTTTTGCAACTCCAGCTCCCCACCGGACAACCCTTCACGTCGGCTATGGTGTTCTCCCGAAAAGTGGGTGGAACTTCAACCCCCACACGTCGGATTACACCGCACATCACGAGCGAATGTAAGACAAGATAACCTGAGATGCTCTACTCTTGCGAGACTGCGACCGAAAACCACTTTACATTAAATGAACAGCGCAATATCATATTAAATTTCAGAATAAGTACTGACGAGAGTGCTATTGTGTGCGAAATATTGTATCGTAAAATGGGGCGCTGCTTTGAGTATCTGTTTCATCCCCCTTTGATGGTTCACAGGAAGATGTCTCTCGTAGTCCAGAGAGAGGAGAGTTTATAAATTCTGAAGGACATGCAAAGAGGCGACAAGCACTATTTCTCAAATTTCTCCTCTGCCAACTACTAACAAAAAGTATATACACATCGCACCCTCCTTTTTTGCCATCAGAGCCCGAAAAACGTGTCGAGGGTTGAGGGTAGTTTAATTTCAAAGCCATCACCATGAAGTGACTTTTTGGGGAGCATGAAATTGCTTAAGGAAAATCATTGAAGGGGAAAAAAGTGAATCACTTCGCGGCCCTTCGTTAAATTAGAAAATAGAAATAATGAAGAAATAAATCTCATTTCCCAAGACTCTGTGTGCTGGGGATGTTTTTCCTCCTCGACTAATTGGAATCCACTAAAAAGTGGTGTAAATTGTAAATTAAATTGTCTCTCTCTCTCTCTCTCTCGCAAATTTCCACTGACTTTCCCTCCGCCATTCTCCACACACCGTTTGGAAAATGGGGAAAAGAAGGGCGCAGTCTTGAGGAGTCACCACTTATCTCAGGCTCTACATTAGCGTGTCCCGGAGACAGAGTTGAATGAGAGACAATTCTAATATATAAATGAAAATGTCTAATGCAGCCCTGAGGAGTGCTTATCTGATGTAATCATCAATGAGATCTGTGCACAGTGGAGCCATTTTATACAAAAACTTTTCCTTCACTGGCGGCTCATCCCTTCGCACACAGAAGAAGATTGGCCACTGCCACCCAATGCCACTCGGAATTAAATTGGTCTCCGGCGTGCTCAGCAACTTTGAGAATTCCGGAATGACTTTAAGTAAGCTAATGAGATCGCACATAAAGAAACACCCGCCGGCATAATTCACCGAAAACACATCCAGACGAATTGAATTCCATTCGCATTTTCCCCAGAATTTTCATTGCACAGCATACACATTCCGCTTCACATGCCTAATTAAAAGTGATCAACTGAAAATATCCCATTAAACACACGTTCGAATGTATTGATAACATCGAGGGCAGTCGAAGTGAAGAGTCCTGGGGTGAATGCAAAAGGGATGATTTCGAGAGGCTCTCAAGTGGTCTGTCAAGAGGCACATCAATTTATCAGCCATTTTCCCCACTTGTGATCGCTCAATTGGATAATTTACGCACGTAAAAGAGCATGATTTAACAGAATAGAAGACATGAGAGCATTATCGCTTCAATAGTGGCATTGAGTCAATTACTGATGAGTATTTTGTGAATATAAAACTCCTTAAAATGAAATGACTTTTGTGCCACTTTTTGTGAAACAACAGCGCAAATGTTATTTCAAACTCTTCAAAAGTATTAATTCATAATAAAGTTTTCTCCCAACTTACTTCTAGTGCATGCAAGTCCTCATGAATGTCCTTTGAGGAATCAATTTTAATGTGATACACGAACTATACACAGTTTCCACACACACAGTTTCCACACACACACACACACGACGATATGCTTTGGCCTTTTCAATCAAGTGCCATTACATGAATTTATCAATGATGGTTAAGTCCTCAAGTTCATTTTGAGGTTGTGCACCATTTCAAGACCCTCTTCCATGGGGATATTGCGAGGGAAAATTGGAATTCCTATTAATAAGTCCGTATAGATGCATACCAAGGCGATAATGGTGGCTCAAAGACTTCCTCCTCCATTATGCGCTGTCAGAGACAAAGTGGGTGAGATCAGAGTGGGATATATGTGGCGCACTGAATAGGGGATGCGACCAGTTCTGCAATGTCAACTCGGGGTAGTTAATTTTAACGATATTCATGCCATTATGGGTGCTTTCGCACAGCAATTTTCTCCAGCAAATACTCCATGGGAATGTGTGTGCGAGTTCATTATCGGGATCTGCGAGTGAGAAAATATATGGAGACGCAATAGAGTGGCCGCAACTTCTCACAATCTCAGGCCATTTCACCACTGGGCGATATGAATAATTTATCAATTAATATGCATACGTTAGACGTCGTTTGGGTGGTGGCAACATTTTCAAAACATTTTATACCCGACCGCAGGCAGGGCAAAAGGACGCCCCTTTCTAAGCCACCCCCGCCTGTCAAAACTAGCCCATCAAGCAGCAACAACTATAAAAGTTGAGAGCACTCACCCTCCACAGCTTTTCCGGTGTATAAATCGGCCGTATTTAATGGCTCAGTGGACCGTGTTGGGTATGCAGAATCTCAACGTGACGCAAAATTGCAATTAGGACGGGCAAAAATCCCTTTTTGTGTCCACAATCTCGCATTACCCCATGGCAACAATCACTCACACCTCGGCAGCTTTACACTCCTCTCGCTCGCAAAAGACGTAAATTGTTGGCTTATTGTTGGAAAAGTTTCTCTTTTGCCATCCCCAACTGAGGGTTGATGTGCAATTTTACACCATCGCTCTCGATGGCACACAAAAGAGGATTTCGCAAGTTTCGCACACTTCCTGCACAATGTTATGTCGCTCTATGGGGACATTTTCAGACAAAATAAGTAATATTTGCTCACTTATTGTCCGACAATCCGGAGCAAAGACCTTTGTGATAACACAAGACAGCACGATGATAGTTCTAAGTCACTGCCATTAACTGATTAACACCCTATCGCTATGTTTTCTTATGTACTCCAGCTTATCACTCTCATGGTATTTCATGTCTGACATGATTGGTGATAGTGCTGCGATAAGATAGCAACCAATCCATCTGGAGTGAAGTCTGGAGAATGCTTTTAGTTCAGTTCGACAGACAGTGCAGCATTGCGAATCCAGAATGCAGAATTTTATCACAAACATCAAATCAACCGCAGGATTTCTCAATCAAGTAAATAAGCTGAGTTATATTCACAACATTGGAAAATTCCCACTGGTTTATCGCAACATTGGACAAGAGTTGGGCCGAGTGGCGAGTGAATTTGGTGATCGTGAGGCATTTGTGGCGGTGGAAGAGCAGAAGCGACTCACTTACGATCAACTGAGATGTGAGGCGGATCGCCTGGCGGCGGGCTTTCTCAGTCTGGGCCTAAAGCAGGGTGATCGCCTAGGCCTCTGGGCGCCAAATGTCATTGCATGGCCTGTCGTGTTCTTTGCTGCCGCCCGGGCAGGATTGATCCTCGTCGCTCTCAATCCAGCCTACGAACCGCCAGAAATGGAGTATTGCCTGCAGAAGGTCAGCGTCAAGGCTCTGGTGACCACTGAAAGCTTCCGCAACAAGCCGTACTACGACTCACTGCAGAAGATCATCCCGGAATTGCAAGCGTCAAGTCCGGGAAGAGTGTCTTGTGAGAGAATTCCGTCACTATCGCACATAATAATGGACACACAGAAAGATCTCGATGGTGTGTTTCGTCTTTGCGATGTATCTGCTATGCCAACAGGCGATCAAGTTCAAGAAATACCACAACTCCAGAGCACCATAAATCCAGACAGTGGATGCAATATTCAGTTCACATCTGGTACAACTGGGAAGCCCAAAGCTGCTCTTCTGCGGCACTCGAGCTTCGTCAACAACGGCATGCACATTGGAGATCATCTGGAGCTGCAGGAGCGCAGAATATGCATGCAAGTGCCTTTCTTCCACGTTTACGGTGTCGTAATCACCACCATGGCGAGCCTATCTCATCGCGCCACAATCGTCCTGCCCTCAATCACCTACAATCCTGAGAAATCCCTGCACGCCATTCAGCAAGAGAAGTGCTCAGTGATCAATGGCACGCCGACGATGCATGTGGACTTGGTGAGGAAGCAAAAGGAGCTGCAGCTGGATCTGGAAGCTGAGATTGCTGTGAGTGGCGGAGCTCTCTGTCCTCCGCAACTCTTGAGGGACATGAAGAGCGAATTGGGACTGAAGAAAGTGAAGAGTGTCTATGGATTGACAGAGAATTCGTCTGTGAGCTTCAGTTCTCTGCCAGGTGACGATGAAGACAAGGTCCTGAGCACTGTAGGTCACATGCTAGACCACACTGAGGCCAAGGTTGTTGACTCTGAGGGACACTTGGTGCCTTTTGGCGCTCCTGGTGAACTCTGCGTTCGTGGCTACTACACAATGCTCGGCTATTGGGAGGACGAAGCAAAGACCAAGGAAGTCCTGAGCTCTGATGGTTGGCTAAAGACAGGAGATCAGTTCGTCCTGCACGAGGATGGATATGGCAAAGTTGTGGGCAGACTGAAGGATATGATAATTCGCGGTGGTGAAAATATTTTCCCTAAAGAAGTTGAGGATATTCTGGTCACCAATCCTAAGATTGCTGAAGCCTACGTCGTCGGTGTTCCCGATGAGCGTCTAGGCGAGGAACTCTGCGCCTTCATTCGCCTTCAAGCAGGCCTTGACGATTGTCCATCTGAGGAAATCCGCGAATTTTGCCGTGGAAAGATTTCATACTTCAAAATACCGCGCTATTTTAGAATCGTCACTGAATTTCCAAAAACTCTGTCTGGGAAAATTCAGAAATTCAAACTACAGGAGCAGTTTAGGAATGAAGGCAAAATAAACAGCTAAGCCGCCACTTAACTCTCTTCGACTCACACCAAAATTACGCTGATATATAGTTAATTATTACTGATAGTCATTCATTCGCCGAAATACGTAATTGAAATACCCAAGCAAAAAATACGACAGAGTAATCTTCCTGTGTGTCGTGTGAAATTGCCACAGACACTCTTATTTGAGTGTGTCAACAACGGCACGATTCAAGTTCAATTAGATTCCGTGTGAATTGATAAGAGCTTATAACATTGGTTCCCCCATCACATCTGCAGCAATTTAAGCGCTCCGGGTCGCCGAGTGCTTCCAGTAATCCGCGGTCTCTCGCCAGAGTCTGTTCTCCTTGTCACAGTGCTTCAAAATGTCAATTGTGTGTGAGAAGGTGCCCAAATCCGGTCTTGTGGTGAAGGCGGGATACATTGGAGTGGAGGATTTCGTCACTGTGCAGCGCACTGAGCGGCCCAAGGACTTGCCAATTGCGGAAAAATGGTGCATGGAGCCTTGCTTTCTGCCCAGCTTCTACGAGCCAATGGCGCAGAAGATTGAGAACTTCACTGTCCGTCCGGACGACGTCTGGGTGATCACGTATCCAAAGTGTGGCACGACGTGGTCACAAGAGATGGTGTGGATGTTGTGCAACAATCTCGACTACGAAGGAGCCAAGAGGAAGCTGACTGAGAGATTTCCCTACATTGAGTGCGTTGGATTTTCCCACAACGTCAACACAGCCTGCAATTTACTTTGCTTCGTCTTTTCAGGATCGGCTGCCTCTTGTCCAGGGACATTCCGGACTTGGACCAAATAGAGATACTGGAAAACATGCCGTCGCCGCGGTTCATCAAATCTCACCTTCCGGCGCACTTGCTGCCGCCGCAAATCTGGACGGTTAAGCCCAAAATTGTCTATGTGGCCAGAAATGCGAAGGACACAGCAATATCCTGGTATCATCACTACGTCAACTACCAACACTACAAGCACACTTTCGATGACTTCATGGAGGTGTTTCTCAACGATATGGCCGACTTCTCGCCTTATCACTCTCACATAATCGATTTCTGGAATATGCGACATGAGAAGAACATCCTTTTCCTCACGTTCGAGGACATGAAGGCCAACCATCCGGCGGTGATTGAGAAAACTGCGGCATTCTTCGGCAAGACGTACACAAAGCAGCAAATTGACCGTCTCGCTGATCATCTCTCCTTCGCCAAGTTCTCCAAGAACTCCGCTGTGAACATGGAGGCCATTCTGCAGTTGGTTCAGGACTCGCTGAACGTCAAGATGCCCGATCCGAGCTTCACTATAGCGCGAAAGGGGGCAGTTGGATCGCACAAGGAGGAAATGACGCCAGAACTGATTGAGAGATTTAATAAATTCACCGAAAGTGAGATGAAGAGATGGAAGTGTGACGCAGAATTGCGGAAAATCTTCATACTGTGAATATTGGCAAATAAAGATCAAATTAAGTGCCTTTAAATCAACAAGTCACTTGTGCATATTGACTTAACACGGGTGATATATGAAAGTTAGACGAGAGAACTTGACAATTCACAAGTGAAACTCACTATTCATCGTGAAAGTTCAGTGTGTGAAAGTCATACAATTAGATTGAGTGCTCTTGGAAAACCCTCGAGGAAATCTTCATTTGGCGCGAAAACTTCTTGCAGATTTATGATGTCACAGCCAAGTGTGGGAGTCAATATATTAGATGATTGTCATCAATTAGTTCACACATGAGGCGTGACACAAGTGAAAATCACACCATTTGCGTCCCTAAACTGCCCTCTTGTGGTGTGCAACACATTAGGAATTGTCGGCGGAGCCAATCAAGACGTTTCGGTTGTTATGCGGTCTGCAGACAATATTCGTGCTGTGGCCAAGTTGTCTCTGGCTTGATGCCACACAAGATGCCACATCTGTGGCACAGCACACAGTTTAAATGCACAACGGACGGATATTTAGTGAACAATTGCCATGAGACCACGACATGCCATTGATTGTGATTAATAATTTACACGATTAAACTTAAAACAATGGCCGAGGACTTGCAGACACAATATTTGCCCACTAAAAAGCTATAATAAGATGTGTTGCTGACTCTCGGCTATTAAATAAAAACGTACCATAAGTCACAAAAGTTCCCCCGAGTCAGATAAATTGAAAATTCTCATGCAACATCATGTGGACATTCAACGAAATATACGGCAAACGTGTCCTGCTGAAAAGTCAGTCACAAGAGTGAGAAAGAGTGTCTTAAATGCCATCCATTCGGGGTGAGTTCATTGAAATTTTCAAGGGGTCTTTTGGCGAAATGGGAATCAATTCTATTTTGCTACAACTACAATTATTGATACGTGCTTTCAGTGTTGAAATCACCCATGTTCCTTCCTCTGCAATTTTCTCCTCCTTTCACTGCTCTATCTCAGCACCAGAATATACTCTTGCCGAGCGTGTGTATCGCAACCGGATAAATTGGAAAAGCCAACACACAAAGTTTGTTTCTTCCCCAGCTTTAGTTCTCTATCAAAAGACATTAAAACAGTTCTTGAAAAGGCTGCTTCAGTTTGATTAGTATTTTCCAGCAGAATATGCAATTTAGCACAGTATGAATATATCGGGAAAACTTCGTTTTTGACCATAGAAAAGGCACATTTAATTAATAAATGCCAGAGTGATTCTATATTCTGTATTTCTGATGATAAAACAACAAAATCGTTCCAAAAATTAATTTAGTTTCTGAAATATTGATAAAAATGCTTTTTTATTCAATTATCTAAACCGAACGATATATTTTCGCATTTCTTTTCACCAGTTTCTTATGTTTAAAAGTTGATAGAATTATTCAATGGCAAACCAACTGAAAAGCTCCGAAGTCAGCTGTCTATACCTGACTCTACAGAGAGCTTTTTTCAACTTTCCCCATTCACTCGATTTCAAGCTACGCCCATGCATCATCCTGTGCTGGCGATGTTAGTTTCTCGGGGTGGAATTGCCAAGGAGCCAAGCAATTGCTGACTTTGTGGGAAATTGCGTGCAGAGCGTAGATTACACAGATTAAACTTTAGGACGGGTAATAACATTATTAGCTCATATTTCACTTTGTGCACGCTTTTTGGTTTGAGTGTGCTGCTGGGGGTATAAACAAACAGCATAACAGGTATTTTCCCGAACAATTTATTTGCACAAGATATTCCATGCCGTTGCAGTGCGGAAAATGTATTGCGGACCATCGTGAAATGTGTACAAGTCCATTAGACTCGCGCGGTTGGGAAAAATTTATTCCTCCTTCGACCACAAATAAATTATTATCAGCATTATTATTATTTGCTCTGCTGGTGGGAGGAATTTTGGCGCTTTCTCGCCATGCGATGCCGCGCAAAACCACCAATTTAATTTAATATAAGCAAAACATTAGAGTTCAAAGCCATGAAATATACAGGATCCCATCAACATCCTCGCCTGTTGGTGGTTGAGGAAAATAATTAAAATTCCCGCTACTCGCTTCAGTAATTTTGCGGGACCAACACGGAAAAATGGACAGTAATTTGTGTGTGTGTGTATGTTTTTGGGGAAGTTCCCAGCTGATGGGAGTCAGTTAAAATGAAAATGAATAAATTAATATTAGCACTGGATGACTTCATGTAGTTTACACCCGCGCATAATCCACGGTTGAGTTCTAACAGAGCATGAAAAGTAAATATTTCGATTTGCGGCAAGCAAAAACTGATTAAAATTGATTTTTGGCAATAACATTGATCTTTTTTTGTGCCAAAATACATGAAATTTTTTTTGTAGAAAGCAAGAGAAAAAATTGAAGAAAATTTTAATACAATTCCAAAGGATCCACGACTTGAACCAAGATATTGACTAATCTCGTGATGATAACAAAAATAATATTTCATCTTCTAATCTAATTTATTGAGCTATATTTGTACTTCTCAAGCTTATCACCAATGACTAAACAAATTAAAACCCATTCAAATATTTGCCCCTTCCTCATAAGACAGATAATAAAGGCCAAAGAGGCGACTTCTGTTCTATCTTCCATCAGTTTGCGAAGTGAATTCGGGAAGTTTGGCTGCGTTTTTCACCTTCGACATGAACAACATCTTCAGTCCGACGATTTTCGACGCGGAGGCCAAAGTTTGGCGCGGGCCTTCGCGGCCAGAGATCTTCGGCCCGACCGTGTCCGCCGGCCGCGTGGGACTCTTCAACCTCAGCCAGAATCCCGACCTGGTGTGCCAGATCAACTGCTCCACCGGCGCGCAGAAGACCAACCGCCAGATCCACGACGAGACGCTCAGCGTCGCCGCGAGCCTGCGGAAGCTGGGCTGCCGCCAGGGCGACGTCGTTGGCTTCATCGCGCGGAACAACGACAGCGTGGCCGCGGCCGTGCTGGCCGCCTTCCTGCTGGCGGCGCCCATCAACGCCCTGGATCCCACGTTCGCCATCCGTCAGTAGAACGCCGGCGAAGCTCCGCCCGAAAGTGACCGTGTTTTGCTTTGCAGAGGAGATCATCCACATGTTCGGCATCACGAAGCCCAAGTTCGTCTTCTGCGAGAGCGACAAGGTGCCGGTCCTGCGAGAGGCGCTGCAGGTCCTCAAGAACGACGCCAAGATCATCGTCTTCGGCGACAGACTGGCCGATTCGCTCCACATCGAAGACTTTCTGGCTGACCCTGGAGATTTGGGCGCTTTCAGGTACGCTTTTCTTATCTCAATGTACTCAAGATAATTGCCTGCTCTCCTTGATCTCCGTCAGCCCACCTGAAGTCGATGACGACACCTGCGCTGTGATCTTCTGCTCCTCAGGCACCACTGGATTGCCCAAAGGCGTTTGCATAAATCACAGAAATTTGAATTTCATTGCAGCTTATGGATACACAGACGATGAAGTTGAGAAGCCCTACAAGATCCTAACGTTCACATCAATTTACTGGGTCACTGCAGTTCTGACGCTATTAGTTGGCTTGGGAAGAAGCACGAGACTCATCGTCCCTGAATCCTACTCAGACGATTTCTTCTACAAGATCATAAAGAAGTATCGACCTGAAATCATCTTCACAGGACCAATGTACTTTGAGGGATTGATAAATCATCCCTCAATTCAAGTGAGTGATCTGGATAGCATCAAAGTCTACATCTGCGGTGGAAGTGTGGTTAGTCAGGCTTTGTGGGAGAAATCAAAGGTGTTCTTAAGAAATGGTGAGCTACGTTGCGCATACGGAATGTCTGAGATTAGCTTCATCTCAAAAGCGCCGCCAAAGGCATCAAAACGCAGCGAAGGCTACATTTTATCAGGCCAGCAGGTGCGGATCCTGGACGAAGATGGCGAGAACCTGGGCGTTGGGGAGCAGGGAGAGATCTGCATAAAGTGGCAACACATGTTCAGAGGCTACTTCGACAATCCCGAGGCGACGGCCAAAGTGCTGGACGCGGACGGCTGGCTGCACAGCGGCGACATCGGCTTCTTCGACCAGGACAACCAGCTGCACGTGATGGGACGCAGCAAGGACCTCATCGAGTACAACTACTTCAAAATAACGCCCGGCGAGATCGAGAACGTGATCCTCAGCGTTCCCGGCGTTCGCCAGGCCGTCGTTGTCGGCGTTCCCGATCCCAAGTTCGTCGATCTCCCGGCGGCCGTCGTCATCCGCAAGGAGGGCTCCTCGGTCACCGAGCAGGACATCGCGGCGGCCATCGAGGCGCGTCTCAGCGACCACAAGCGCCTCAGAGGCGGAATCTACTTCGTGGACAGCGTGCCAACCACTCCGTCCGGGAAGGTGAAGAAACAACTGGTGAAGGAAAACGTCGTGAAGCTCTACCGAGAAAAGCAGCAGGGAATCTAGATTTCTCCAGATTGCGACTCTTATTGATAAATACCAAGATAAATACCCAATTATTTCTTTTGATTCGTGCTTAAGATGACTAATGTATTTCTTATCGAATGTTCTTCAAAATCTTTCCAACTGTATACATATATCTGTTGATATGTAGCGCTAAGCGATTATTGCTATTTTCTGCACAGACTTTTTGGGCTGGTTTGTGGTTATGATTAAAATTTAATATTATATATTCTCTTGAAAATATATATTTTAATGAAGTTCCATTCTTACTCTCGTAACTGCACAATTCCACAATGTAACTTTACGAATTCCACTCATCGAGCGCTGTGTTGTGTCGAAAGGCAAAAAGGAAAATGACGAAAAGCGACTGGGAGATGGTGTTGAGAATCGGAAAAGCCACGGAAATTCACTTAGAAGAGTGCACGTGGCGTACAAACGAAAACACGTGATGCGGAGCGTGACGCAAAGCACCACGTTTGAAGCATGCATCGACAAACAACACTAATTATGGCTTAATTGTGTTTTCTCCGCCACAAGGATATATTTAAAATGCAAATCGAATTTGGAATTTGGTCCTGAGCGCATCTTCATTACAACTTAATTAAAAATATGGTAATCCAATGTTGAGAAAGAGTGACACAAGAAATCTCTAATTGTTGCTCTGGTTCTGTCTTTCTCGGTAGAGCTTCACGACATTTTCCTTCACCAGTTGTTTCTTCACCTTCCCGGACGGAGTGGTTGGCACGTTGTCCACGAAGTAGATTCCGCCTCTGAGGCGCTTGTGGTCGCTGAGACGCGCCTCGATGGCCGCCGCGATGTCCTGCTCAGTGACCGAGGAGCCCTCCTTGCGGATGACGACGGCCGCCGGGAGATCGACGTACTTGGGATCGGGAACGCCGACAACGACGGCCTGGCGAACGCCGGGAACGCTGAGGATCACGTTCTCGATCTCGCCGGGCGTTATTTTGAAGTAGTTGTACTCGATGAGGTCCTTGCTGCGTCCCATCACGTGCAGCTGGTTGTCCTGGTCGAAGAAGCCGATGTCGCCGCTGTGCAGCCAGCCGTCCGCGTCCAGCACTTTGGCCGTCGCCTCGGGATTGTCGAAGTAGCCTCTGAACATGTGTTGCCACTTTATGCAGATCTCTCCCTGCTCCCCAACGCCCAGGTTCTCGCCATTGTCGCTAACGATCTTCATCTGCATGCCTGCCAGAATGTAGCCTTCGCAGCGTTTAGATGCCTTTGGCGGCGGTCTTGCGATGAAGCCAACCTCAGACATTCCATAGGAACAATACATGTCTCCATTTCTTATGAACTTCTTGGATTTCTCCCACAAAGCCTGACTAACCATCGTCCCTCCGCAAATATACACCCTTATGCAGTCCAGATCACTCACTTCGAGTGAGGGATGATTGAAGAGTCCATTTAGAGCCAAAGGTCCCGTCATGGGAACTTCAGGACGATACTTCTTCACGATCTCGTAAAAGAGATCGTCTGAATAAGGTTCAGTTGTGTAGAGCCTTGTGTGTGCTCCCAAGCCAATATAAAGTGTATATAACGCGGAAACCCAATAAATGGAGGTGAAACATAGCATCTTGTAAGGCTTCTTCACCTGATCTGTGTATGCGTAGGGAACAAAGAAATTCAAGTTTCTGTGACTGAGGCGAACGCCTTTGGGCAATCCGGTGGTGCCTGAGGAGCAGAAGATCACAGCGCAGGTGTCGTCATCGACTTCAGGTGGGCTGACGGAGATCAAGGAGATCAGACAATTATCTTGAGTACATTGAGATAAGAAAAGCGTACCTGAAAGCGCCTAAATCTCCAGGGTCAGCCAGAAAGTCTTCGATGTGGAGCGAATCGGCCAGTCTGTCGCCGAAGACGATGATCTTGGCGTCGTTCTTGAGGACCTGCAGCGCCTCTCGCAGGACCGGCACCTTGTCGCTCTCGCAGAAGACGAACTTGGGCTTCGTGATGCCGAACATGTGGATGATCTCCTCTGCAAAGCAAAACACGGTCACTTTCGGGCGGAGCTTCGCCGGCGTTCTACTGACGGATGGCGAACGTGGGATCCAGGGCGTTGATGGGCGCCGCCAGCAGGAAGGCGGCCAGCACGGCCGCGGCCACGCTGTCGTTGTTCCGCGCGATGAAGCCAACGACGTCGCCCTGGCGGCAGCCCAGCTTCCGCAGGCTCGCGGCGACGCTGAGCGTCTCGTCGTGGATCTGGCAGTTGGTCTTCTGTGCGCCGGTGGAGCAGTTGATCTGGCACATCAGGTCGGGATTCTGGCTGAGGTTGAAGAGTCCCACGCGGCCGGCGGACACGGTCGGGCCGAAGATCTCTGGCCGCGAAGGCCCACGCCAAACTTTGGCCTCCGCATCGAAAATCGTCGGACTGAAGATGTTGTTCATGTCGAAGGTGAAAAACGCAGCCAAACTTCCCGAATTCACTTCGCAAACTGACAGGAGAAAGAATAAAAATCGCCTCTTTATCAGCCTCAAGAAGAAGGTTAATTGTTTGAATACAGCAATCTGTGATAAGTATTTCTATTTATGCACCGTCATAAATTTGATTAGATTATAAGAAAGTGTTTATGCTTAACTGTGTTATCATCTCAAATGTCTCCAATATCTAATGTTTCAGCGTTATCATTGTCAACATGCGAATTTCACACACCAAAACCAGTGAAACTCGTCCTATTTCTTAGCGCAATCCTTCGGCGTGAGATAGTGAATGGCCGATAGTGACGACGCAAATTAGTTTGCGTGAAAGATTTCCTCGAAAGATCAACCTTGAGTGACTTTTGTATAAATCAAGAGTTGCGTTATCCAGGCCAGTGACCATGAGGCGAAATTAGTCCTTTTCGCCTTATCCACGTGTTGGTGTGCCGCCAAGTGGAAAATGAAGAAGGACACCAGATTGCCATCACTATTCTAATTGAGGTGTGGGCGGCGACAGACCCTTTCTGCCAGCTGCATCCCTCTTCGCAGATCCTAATCTCGCGGCGGGGCTCCTTTCTTTCCCTCAATTCTTCGCCTCGAGTGCAGCTGAGAAAAGTTTTCCCGCGAGAACAGGAGGAGTGAACATGATATTTAATTTAGAGTAATTTGGGAAATTTGCTCTCCTCAACATCACCAACTCCTCATCTGACTGTTTGCCGAGAATGAAATCTCCACCCTCAGCTTCCGGGGCGCTTTCTTCCGTGAATCGTCGTGTGTCAAGGAGAGCTTCAGTGGGTGGAGGGAGAGAGAGAAGAAAAAAGGCGAAATATACACAAATTAAATACAAGAAAAACACAAAAGGAAGATTCTCGAGAGCCAGCTTCTTTCACCATCTGTTTATTGACTTTTCCGTCGCTCCCCCGCCCCCAGAGCGCCGAGTTCCCGTGGTGGGAGTCTTGGTTGAAGGGAAAGGTAGGATGACGAAAAATATCTTGTGACAAGAATGTGGGCGGAGGAAGTGGGAGTCAATTCTTCCCTTGGCGATGCCTTTAAAAAAGACTACAAGCACAAGATTAATTTCATTGATGTATTTTCACTCTATTCTGTTTGTGTCTCTGTCGCCTCGTCATCCTTCATGGCTGGCACCCCAAACCCCAAAACAGAAAAAGGGGGTGGGCCCAGGGTGTGGAAATGTGGGTGAAAAATATACATTGTCTCTCATCCATTGAGAAAATATTCATGGGAAAACATGAGAAAGAATTTCTCCATTAGGGCGGACGGGAATTTTTGCTATTTTATCACGTTCTCAGGCATTTGTACCCATTCGCTCACCTCATTTCGACAAATTGCTGAAGGGGAGTTGCAAAAGAGTTGGAGCAGTGCTGCAAGGATTCAGGATCTGCGACAGTGAAATAGAAAATGTACAGCTTGAATTCAAGTGAATGTTTTCGTGTCTCTCTTTCAAAATACAACTCACCATTTTGCTATTGATTAGAAAAATGCTGAAGAATTTCTTGTTTTGGGGAAAGCATTGCTCAAATGCAAATTTGTAATTATTGATGTCAAATTTCAAGTCAATTGAACATTCAAAACTGAACTGAATGAATGAATTTCATACGCACAGTTCTACCCTCTGGCGAAATCATTGACACAGATTCAGGACAGTTGTATCTCATATCTGTCCAACTTCAACCCCTAATTCTGCCAACGAGGCCCGTCCGTGCTGCAGAGATTAATAAAAGCTCCACCCCAACGGAAAATTGTAATTAATGAAATTTCGCCTTGGTGCCTAAAACCCTTTTTATGTCTTCCCCACGCAGATGCTTTTCCGGGAAGAATTTTCAATTAAGAGGTGGAAAATCTCGTGTGTCGGCCAGTGAAAAGCTGAAAAGTCATATTTTCATCATTTTTATGGCAAGTTTTTACCCTCCTTTTCCACACACAAACACACCCACAAATCCACCTCGTGAGTGGATAAATAAATAAAAGTATTCCCACGTGTGCTATTAATTCACAGAGTAAGAGTGGGGGAAAAAAAAGTACTTTTCTCCGTTGAGATAGCAAAATAATTACTTCTTAAAAAATTAATGACTTTCTGGGCCGCATTAAAAATCCAGAAAGGTTTTGCATTTTAGTGAAAAATCTCAGTGATATCGAGAGAGAATCCTTTGCGCACCAGAGCAACACAGCATTGATGTCACCCTTTAATATAAATAATTAATGATCATGTGCCGTCTTTGTGTCCCTCTAATTAAAAGCGAGAATTAATCAGCATCTTGTTACTCAACAATGCTGTTTATAGTCTCATAACATTTTATTTTCCACCCAACTTTTATGCGCGCTGTCCTTGTCCTTAATTGAATCCTTTCATCAGTCCCAATGTCCAATTATCCCGTCAAAGAGACTTCAGCCACTGCAAAATCCACATCATTGAACAAATCCATGATTTAATCCATGCAAGTTTTCCGTCATAATTTTCGCTATTTTTCCCCTCTTCCGCAATTGCCCATGACGGGGAATTAGCGAAAAGGATTTGTCTCCCACTTAATTCGAATGCGGAAATGCACTAAAAACTTCTAATTCCCCACGCGCTGTGAACTTGCATAGGTTCCCAAATGGAGAAGGGCTTAAGTCATATTCCCTCTAGAGAATCCATTGAAAACCCTTCAGCCCGCTTCGCCGCAGCTCGGAGGATTTGTGATCCCTGAAAACCCGCTCTGCATTCACAGCACTGATGCCATGACTATTTTCTCCGGCACACAACTATAAATCCTGCCGCCGGAAGCTCCCTTTATCCCATCTCAAATCTCTCGTGCTCTCTTCGCATGGCATTAGTAAAGAATTTAATGATGCTGAAACGTATTTTGTGTCACAATTAATTTAAAATAAACACAAATTTCATTGCTGCTACTTTGGAGACTTTTTTAAGACTTCAATTCACCCCTTTTGCCTATGACTGTATCACTTGAATTACCGAAGGCTGAAGGAAATTCTGTATTGTCTTCGCTGGAAACTCAAGAGTGTCTTCACGAGAAGCCATCGAAATTAGGAGAAGTTTTTAAGCAGCCGGAAAAATGGGAGAAAAGTCAGTAAAGCCTAAGAAATTTCATTGAATATCCCACTCATAAAATCACTTATTTCATGGCCAAAGAAATCTATAAAAAGAACTTGAAATTGTCATGATTATTTACCTAAAACATCCCTAAATTAAGGGAGATTTAGACAATTTAATTACACCCTTAAAACCTCAAGGAATTCTAAGACAAATATATGCTTAAGCAGCGCTCTGCAGAGTTATTCTACCATTTTCGCGTCAAATTATCTCTTCGCATTGCAAATCAAGTTCACAATTGCCAAATGGGTTTATGAGACAACTAATCAAACTTGGCGATATTTTTTTCGACTGATTCAGTACGACACAACTAAACTGCTTAAATTCATCTGGAAACTTTCCACCAAAAGTTTGCCTCGCAAAATGCTGTGATTCTGCTGCAGAGTCGCTCATCCGTGAGATGTTGATTGCGAGTTGAGCGTCCTGTGAGTTCGAGGCGAAAGGGATTTCCGCTGGAGTGCTTTGGCATGGTGAAAAGCACGGGCACAAACTGAAAACTCTCAATACAGTTGCTCGTAAACAGAATTTGATGCAATGTAGCGTCTTTGCCACTCAAGCAGCGCAACGTGGAAATTATAAAGAAATATTATGGTTTAAGGGTTTTCCATGATGTGGCAAATGCAGCGCTGGCATTCGCGCTTTTATTCACGATGGCAGTCATACATATATAACGATATAATTTTCTGTACAGCTATTTCTCATCTCTTTCACTCATTTGCATTAGCACACACGTCAAATTATCTTTTCAGCGAAGCTCTTCAACTCAAAGAGTGAAGAGAAAAAATACACTATGAAAATCTTCTGCTGCACTTTCAACCGTATTTTCCACAAAAGGTGCTTCTTTTGCCATTTCTATTCATAAAAGTCGCTGCAATAAAATGTTATATAATAATATGTATAATAACCTTTGCCGAGCGAAATGATGTTCATTTGCACTTCTCTTGACGTCAAAAGCATCCCCAAGAAGAGCTCTTTGCAAATTTTCATACAATATTTCATTGTAAGTTGTATTTTAATCAGTTGCAATTCAACGATCGAATTATTTCCCGTCAAAGTGGCATTCAATTGACAGCTGTCAGCATTCAAAATGATTTCCGTTAGGAGCATATTTACGGGCATTTTCCAGCCAGCGCATCCAAAGTTATGGGCCGTTTAGCGTAAATGGAACATGACGCACTGAACTATTTGGGATCAGCTGAAAAATGGTCCGACAAATGCTTTTCAGTTGCCATTTAATTTGGCACTCGAGTGAAATATTGAAATGTTTCTGTTGGCGAACCTTGAAAAAAAAACATCACACACATTTTACATTGCATAAATTGTTGGCAAAAATATAACAATTTATTGATCCATTTGTCGAAGGGGATTTTGTGCATTTTGGAGTGTTTGCGTGTATTTGTTATTAAAGGAGAAAATTTATTGGATATTTTGATGAGATGGTAAACCCGATATAATGCCCTGATGCTTCTCGATGATGGGGAGAGCGGAGCACCCCTGTGTCTTGTGCCTTGTTTCTGGGGATGCGATAGCAGAAATAGTGTGGGTGATATGAGAAGGAAAATCCACCAATAAAAATTCCTGCAAGTAAATTTTCACATATTTTTCACATAATGCCAAGAGCGTTTCCCCCGCCATGACTTGTCTCTCATCCGTCGACAATGGTTTTTTTTTTAGGGGGATGAAATGGGAGACTTTGCGGGGATTTGGTCCATTTTCCTTACTTATCCCGAGGAGAGAATTTTGTGCAAATTTATATTCTGGCATAGAATATTTGACTGCATGGCGATTGCTCTGCGAACATAACCTTAGAAGAATATCAAGATTTCAAGATTTTCAGCGCTTGATAGCTGTCAGTGGCGAAAATTGGTGGGAAATTTGATCTCATTAGCCGTCTGTTTAGCTCTCCCAAAGCACTCTCGCTCCATTTCTCTGGTTTTCCACTCGCCTGAGCCACGATGTTGTATCTGGCTAAACAATGTGAACCCCTTGAGAGTTTGTATATGCGGAAATTTTGGGGAAATGTTTGTACAGGTGAAGCACGAGCCGCCCGACGAAAGTGTGAATTCTCATTCTTCCCGCGAAGCATGTTCTCGCAGGTTTTTCTGCTAACACACTCCTTATGCTCTGTGGCTTCTGCCTTCGTCTTGCCGCCTGCTGATGGAATGAAAATGGAAATTGCGACATGAGGAAAGGCGGCGCACAATGTTTCGGGGCCGCCCCAGAGTGTTGGATCTCGTCTCGCCCTTTTGAGCCATGACAACACAACAACAGACTCTGCCACAAGATAATATGCAAATTTTCTCGACTGTCATAATAATGATAAAACAACTTTTCTTCCAACCCCTCGCAAAGAGTCAGTCCTTAGGCTGAGGCCGGCATTTTCGCTGCAGCTCGCAAGTTTCCCGCCAAAATAATCATAAACTTCGCATATAGCGGGAAATGTGTAGTGAAGGAGCGAAAAGAGCAAGATGAAATGCCATAACGCAATAATAATAATAACAGCAGACACTTATATTCCCAATTAACACTTTGTTCACGAACATTCAATCTCTGTCGATTGCTCTTTGCTGGTTTTTTTTTGCACCCCGAAAGGCATTCAAGTGCTATAAAATCCACACTCATAACTTCAATTGCGCTGCTCTCTGACCTGAAAGCCTTTAATTTGAAAATTATGTATGAAAAAGGAAATGATGGGATTTGGCTTGGCAAATCCATGAAAATTGTTCCCGGCAAATGAAATGCTTGGGAGCCCAGAAAATGTGTGTGAGATTGAAGATGAACCCTCGCTCAAGGGAGAAATATTACGGCCGGAAATTGTGCACAATCAAGCATTGACAATATTTCTTCCTTGAATGTTTTTTTTTTAGGTTATGTATCCAATTCAAATCGAAATTAGTGCTAAAAATCCATAAATTTTTATGCTTAAACAGCAGAGAGAAATTCCGCATTTTATTGCTAAGCAAATTCTGGATATTTGAAATTAAAGAACATTGCAAGCACTGAAGTAAAACATAACCTCAAAAATATTATTTCAAACTATGTTTCTGGTTATTCTGATTGATTTCTAGACTCAAAAACAGCCATTTTGAGCTAATTAGACAATTATACTTGCATTGAATTCATCTAACTTTGTTCTGGGAACTTTTAAGGCAGATTTTCTGTCTCCTAGTGATATTTATTTGAGGTTATGGATGAAGAGCCAAGAAGAGCGATAGAAATACCGAATAGAAACTTCATAGAATGAATGAAATCTCAGAAATCACACACAAACAGCCTCAGAAGTGCAAGAGCCGGAAGTTTGATACAGATTCTGGCCACAATATCTCCCCCTTGACCCTTGCGCGCAATTGAAAATGTGAACTTTCATGGGTCACCCCCACACTCGCACTCGCACCCCAATTCTCATTACTGACGGGGTGTCAGACCGCATCATCCATCTGCCTCGTGACGCACAGTATGGGAAATTGCGGTGCGTCTTTTCTCCGCCGCCGCCGCCGCCCTCCAACAATAACAAAGAGGCACATCGGAATCCCCGGATAAGGTGAAGGGGTTTTCACAGAATTTGCTCGCGCGCCGGGGAAGCGAAAAACCGACAATTTTAACTGAAGCGAGAAAACGACAAATGTGTTCCTTGTATCACATTACGCAGTATCCCACTTTCGACTTCACTCAATTTCACTGGAGCTTTTTCCTCCCCCAAAAAAAAATTCGTGAGCACAGAAAGAGGATGGATTTGAATTTTCTTTCGAAATCGAGATCAACTGATGGTGCTGATAAGACCGATAATTGAAAGTTTAAACAATTATTCCAAATTATTCAACTCCCATCAATTTGCAATATGACTGCTTTGAAGCTTCTTGTGCGGTGAAACTTTTTGCACTGCTGAAGCTTCAGAAGCTCCCAGAGTAAATCAAATGCAGTTTGTTTTAACTTTAAAAGCGAGTTTTCCCATTTTCACTCCCTCGGCGTCACTTTGCGCCTTTGTGAATCAGATTGCGTGGCAGAAATGTGCAAAAATTGTATGATGTCTGGCTGGAAGTAGTGCGGAAATACATGTGAAACGTGATTTTGCCACTGCAATTCCATCGTATACATTTTGCGTATTTTTTATGTGCTTGACTTTTCTCTGTGAAAATGGAATTGTGCTCCACCGAGAAAGTAGGTGTAAAGTGACTTGCCTGAGAGCATTTTCTCATTATCAAAGCTCTTTTTCGTGTGTATGTGTGTGTGTGCTGCGAAAGAGAGTCGGGAAGATGGAAAAAAGCTATGCTATTTCCATATCAGATTTATCTTTAGCTGGCTTATGTGAATATAATGTCTGTGCAAGCCAGATTATGGGTTTTGTACACACAAGAAGCAGTGTGAAATTTGTTTAGTGCTGCAAAATTCTGCATTATTCGCAAAATTCGCAAAAGTTCAGTGTGAAAAACATCGATTGGCAGTTGTGCTTGTGATTTTGAAAACTGAGCAACTCCCCGCGGTTGCTGGTGTCCGCCGCACAGAGGCGCCAGCGGTGCACGAGGAAGACGTCTAATTGGCGTGGAAGAAAAACATTGATCGGTGTGTGGCTTTTGTTATCGTGCAATTCTCTGGGTGAGATTATGTAAAATTCGCTGCTTCCTCCGCGCCAGAAGTCATCGCAAAGTGTGTCCACGATGGTGAAGTACTACGAGGAGCGGACCACGTTCAACTTCAACTGGGAGCAGGTGGCGCAGGCCTTCTGGCAGAAATACCCAAATCCACACAGGTGAGTCCCCCAATTACATAACGCCCTCGCGCGCCCCCTCTCACACGGGCCCCTCCTTCGCAGCAACCACGTGCTGACCGAGGACACGGTGCAGCGCGAGATCCGCGACGGGAAGCTGTACAGCAAGAGGCTCCTGTCCAAGACGAATCGCGTGCCGAAGTGGGGCGAGCGCTTCTACAACGCCAAGTCCGTGAAGATCGTGGAGGAGTCCGTGTGCGATCCCAGCACGCGCACACTGGTCACGTACACGCGCAACATAGCATTTACCAAGATCATGAGCGTCACCGAGAAGGTGGTGTACGTGAGCAGCCGCGACAATCCCGGCAAGACTGTGGCTCTGCGCAGTGCCTGGATCGACTCGCAGGTGTTCGGCTTCTCGCGCGCGATCTCCGCCTTCGGCCTGGACCGCTTCAAGAAGAACTGCAGCAAGATGGCCAACGGCTTCGACTGGGTGCTGCACCGGCTGTACCCAAATCCCACCTCCGCCCACCTGCACAGCGCCACCAAGGCGCAGAAGATCAAGGACGCCGCGCGCTCGGCGTCGGACCACGTGAAGGCGCAGGCGGAGCACATCTACCAGGCCTACTCGGTGAAGAACTGAGCGCGCCATTCCGCCGGGAGCCCGCATTCATTCCACAGCCACTTCCTCCGCCGCTCGCGCTGCCGATGCGGCGCTTCCGGGCCACCACAGTGAGGCACACTCTCTATGCAATCCTCTGGGAATTCGGGGTTGGGAAACCGTAGCGACTTATGGTCAGAATTGTTCATGGAATAAACCAAGTTTATGCGCTTATTAGAACATCCGCCGCCACGCCTTTGACCCATTCTCCCTCGGCCTACTGCGATCGCACGCGAGACTATTTTTGGAGAACGCTTCTGTGCGCCTCACTCGCGAGATTCCCGGTGTTTTTCGCCCTTCTCAAGTGCATCACGACACGGCATTCTTCTCTCCTCCTCAAGGCGAAATCTCGCAGATAAGACGAAAATATTTTTATCGCCGTTTTTCGGCTGACAGTGGCGCAATCTCTTCAATTAGTCAAGATAAAAATCAAGAACGGAGTCAGAATGTGCTTTCTAGGCCAGTTTCTCATGTCTTGAAGCCACAATTGATGCATGAGAATCCGGAGAAACTACGCCACTGGCCGGAATAGGTGAATTTTGAATATTCACTAAAGAGAATCAACTCCGTTTGATGAATCACTGCGGTTTATTCCGTTTATTGATCGATTTTGGGGCCTGTGAAGGGAAGTCTTGTCGAGATTCAGTGGGTATTTGGCCGCATGACGATCATGTAGATGGGAAAGAGGCCTTTTGGCATCTGCTCCTGCCTCTGGATGCGAATCTCCCGGAGTCCTGCCTCGCGGATCAGCAGTCGGATGAGCTTCAGCGGCCGCGTGACGGAGGAATCCTCGGCGTCCAGTTCCACTTCGTTTGACGACGCTGCGTTCTCCTTCATCACGATGACACCGTTCTTGGCCAGGCCGTGCACGCAGCGGCGCCAGAACGCCACGAGATCGTCGTCCGTGAGATGACCAAGAACCCACTGAGTCCAGATCACGTCGTACTTGCCCTCGGCCGGCGTGAACTCCTGCAATCCCTGGGTGTAGATCTCGCCCAGCTTCGCACTGGGGCCCACGTACTTGGGGATTTGGGCGGCGAACTGCGGGCACTGCTCCACGAGGTCCACTGTGTCGAAGGAGCGCAGCAGCAGGTGCTTCGTGACCCTCCCGATGCCGGCGCCGCAGTCCAGGGCGCGGCTGCGGCCGGGGCGCGGCTTCAGGCGGAAGATGTGGCCGAGGAGTTGACTAGATGACTGAATGTCGCGCGGGGAGATCTCGGCGAAGCCCCCGAGGATGCCGTCTATCGTGGGCGGAACGGAGGACCAGTATTTCTTCGCTCGCTCGTAGAAGTCCTCCTGCCCGGACGCGCTCAGTGACAACTTGGTGAGCTGCGAGGCCGTCACCTCGTTCACGATGTGGTTGAGGGTGGGATCCTCGGAGAAGCACACCTCCTGGCCGGGACTTTTGCTCTTGGCCCGAGACGAAAACTCCATGTTGCTTTTGTGAGGTTATGACAACACAACAAAGTTGCTCAGTTTCTCTCGCCCAACTTCAGTCTGGAAGTCAGAGGAGCGGAGCTGGGATTCCGACTTCCCGGAGCATTTTTATCGAGATTGTGTTGAGGGGAAGCACCAGGCAGTCTTCCAATCTCAATCAGAATCCCTGGAGAAATTCCCTGGCGTTGATTTGAATGGAATTCGGGGAATTCGTAAGAAATTCAGGCACATTTGGCATCCGGAATCTCTTAAGATCGTCGAAATCCCTGGAGTTCTGAGGATGTGCACGGCAGAGAGCGTACAGGAGAGGCTCTGGAGAACTGTGGGCTTTCTGAGAGAGCATCAGGGCATCATTGATTGCCATGTGGTGGATTTTCTCTGGGACAATCACTGGCAGAAGCTCCTTCCGAGCGCTCTTCGGGAGGAACTGGAAGCCAATGCGGAGGAAATTCTTAAGGATCTGCACACAATTTTATCCTCAAACTCATCTTCTGCCTATAAACATCTCGAGAACTTCCTGACGAATGCTAAACAACACAGTTTGTCAGCCTTTTCTGGCACAACAACACTTGATGAATTCCTTCCGGAAAGCAAAGCATCTTCAGTTGGACTAAAAGTGGCAGATTTCATGACGCCGAAGAAAATGCACGAGGTAATTATCCCCAATTGTCGTCCTTATTGTTAGTGTGACTGATTTCAGGGGTATTTTCAGGTGAAATCTGCCGCCAGATTGATTTCCTGGCTCTGTTCTCAGGCCAGAAAGCCGACGATAGTCGTGGATGCTGGAGATGGAAAGGGATATCTCTCCTCCTGTCTGGCCTTTGAGCACAATTTGCCCGTCATTGGTCTGGAAGCCAATGCAGACTATCAGAAGAGCGCCCGAAATCGAGTGGCGAAGCTAAAGGTAAGTTCTCTCTTAACTTAAGAGACTCCGTCTCATGCAAAACTTCTTCTTTCTGTGCAGAAGAAATGGAAAGTTCCTGAGCGCGAAGACAACTACAAATCCTTGGCGGTGACTGTGACGAGTGAGTTGAGAATCGGTGAATTGTCGCAAGATCTCTTTTCGACTGAACAACAGCAGAATTTCTGTCTGAGCGGTCTTCACACGTGCGGCGATTTGGCTGTGAATTGCCTGGAAATCTTCACACGTGATGCCAATGTTAGATTTCTCTGTAACATTGGCTGCTGTTACAACTTGCTCACGCGCTTTCCACTCAGCCACTTTCTGAGAAATCACGGCTTCACGCTGAGCGACAAAGCTAGAATGCTTGCGTGTCAATCGCTCAACAAAATAATCGCACAAGAGACTTTGCCAAAGGATTCTCTGCACTTTAGGGCACTTTTTGAGCAGATGCTGAAGGAGAAATTCCCTCTGAGGGATTTTCAGCAAGTGGGAAAAGTGAGGAGTGACAATTTCATTGATTACTTCAAGCTTTGCTGTGATAAAATGAATTTGAATTACTTTTACACCGACGAAGAGCTAAGAGAAAAGCTCACCACTTACGATAGAAGACGCTTTGATCTCTTTTACGTGCTGAGATCGAGTTTGGCTGCTGCCATTGAAGCTGTAATTTTGCTGGATAGAGTTTTGCACCTGATTGAAGAGTGTGAAGCGAGTGAAGTGAATTTGGTGGAGATTTTCCAGCCGGAAATCTCGCCAAGATGCTACGCTTTGGTGGCAGTGAAGAAATAGAGAATGAAAAGTCTTATGCTTTATTGTCTTAGTCGATTATCTCGTCCGAAGTCGCGTCCAGGCAGTCCATGATGTCTCGCTGCAGCTGCTCGAAGGTCTCCTGAACGTCGCTGTCCTGAGCGGCGCGTCGCAACCTGTTGACGTCGCGCAGGAGCGTCGCTCGCCAGGCAATCATGCAGGCCCTTGAGATAGAAGAGTGGCTTTAAGAGAGCTCCGAGTTTCTGGGCTTTCTGGCGGATTCTTGCCAGCACTAGAGCTTCACTTACTCATGACGGCGTCTCTCCAGCTCAGTTGGCGGATCGCTCAGCATGTCGTAGCATCTCTGTCTGCCCGCTCTCGACTCCGACACCATGTTGAAGAACTCCAGCGCCAGGTGGCCGAGTCTCTCCGGATCGGCCTCGAGTTCGCGGAAGACTCCCTCCACGCACGCCCATCTCTCGTCCTCCTCGTCGTTCAGGGCGGACTTGGCTGTGGCATACTTGAGAAAGAGACTCACAGTCAGACTCCTGAACCGTGATAGAGAGCTAGAGACAATTCACCTGCACGAGGATAACGGCGCAAAGCACAAAGATCAACTTCATTGTGTTCAATTGTGTGAATTGGAATTGACTGAGTGCTTGAGCATCAAGATTAGGTCTTTTATACGCTGAATTCCTATTCAAAAACGGAAGATCGATAATTATTAGGTGGTAAATTGTACAAAACAGACTATGGAATATTGATAAACTCTTTGTCTTATCTGGTGAAGCCACTAGAGAGAAAGAGTGTGTGCTTTGAATCCCATGATAAAACGTAATTTATGCGTGACGATTGCAATCTCTGGGAATTCCGAATAAATTTACTTATCAATCAAGTTCACAAATGTTCACTAATCTCGAGATAATGAGTGGAACATGAGTTGATAAGAGAGAATAAAGTCTGATCCACAATTAAGGATAACAAATTGGAATCTAAGACACAAAATCACTCTGAAATCTGCCATTTTTTACACCAATTCCGACCATATTATCCGAATTATAATGACTTCAGAGACTTATAGATTATTTATAAATATTTCCAATTGTTGGATCTTTGCAAAAAACCAGTCGAAGAATGAATGAATTGAATGGATTCAATGTGTCAGAAATTGCAAGCAAATCTATTGACTTGTGCATAAAGAATTCACCATTCACACTTTTATATTCACTCACCTGAGAACAAACCATTTAAAGTGTGCAACAGGTGAGAAACTATAAATAAACACCATGAATATTTCATGCATAAGAATGAATTGCGAAGTTGCTGAGTAAGTTTTATTGACTCTCAACCGGCAAACAAGCTCTATTGGCGCTTCACGCTGAGGTAAATGCCACCCTCGGCCTGGAGGGTGAGCGCCTTCTTCTCCAGCGTCATTGTTGGCGCTGTTTTGTCGCAGAACTCCACCGTGTAGTCCTTGAGGATGCTGATGAGGCCAATCTTGGCCTGCATCAGGCCGAAGCGCTTGCCAATGCAGTCGTGCGGACCCGTGCCGAAGGCGAAGTACGTGTAAGGATGCAGCTGATCCTTGTTGTCCGGGTGGAAGCGGTTGGGATTGAAGGTGTTGGGATCGGCGTAGTACTTGGGATCGCGCTGGATGGAGTAGATGGGGATGAAGACTGGTGTGCCTGGGCTGAGGGCGAAGTCAGCGAAGGGCTGAAGGGAGTAGTTCTTCTGGTCAGGCGTTGGCGTGAAGATTCTGTCGAGGAACGGCAGCGGCGGATACATTCTCAGTGTCTCCTGAATCACCATGTTGAGATACTCAAGTTCATTGATGTTGTCATAGGTCAACTTTCCGTGCTTCTCTGCATGCTGTCGAATTTCCTTCTGAAGGCGTTGCTGGAGTTTCGGCTGAAATCACACCAACAAAAGGGAGTGTGTTTTAAAGTCTATTTTTGGCTGCACGCCAAAAGCTGTATTTCGTGATTGTGCATAATAAATTTGTGGCTTTGCACCCTGTCAAATTGTACAATTTGGAAAATTGCACAAATGACTGGCAATTGAAATGTTAAGTGATAAATTTGTCACTGAACTTTGGGTGACTTTGCGACACTGAACAGTGTTAAAATCGAGCAGGAAATTATCCCACTTCTGGATATAATTGGATGTGCGGCGAAGACTTGCGTGTCTGACGCTTCGTGAGCACTGGAGAAATTGCCTTCAGAGGCGCTTGATGGGCCGTTAGAAGGAGCTTCCGAGGCGCGCTTGATGGAAACCAGTGAGAATTGAAGGGGTGTGCAGAGTGAAAACCCACCCCATCGATGACTCGCTGGCGCATGAGTTCACCCAGGAAAGTGAGCGTAAAAGGGGTGCATTGTCCAAAGGTTTCTGAAGAGGAAGTGTATTGGGAAATTATGTAAGTGAAATTCAAACGTTTCCATAGTGTTATTCAATTTGTTTAATCGTTTCACTTCTCTGCAATGTTCTTCAACACCCCACAAGTAATGGTCAGTCTGTTCCACATTCTCGTCGCGTTCACACCTGCTTTTCGCGCGCATTTGTGCCAATGGCTGAAGAGGACACCAAGATTGACTATGATTTGGACAGTGCGGAGGACGGAGAGGAGATTATCCACTTCCTCAGTTCGTACTTGACAAAGACACTCCGCTTGAAGATTGATAAGTGGCACAAGTTAATGACATCAGACGATACCAGATCGATAGTGCTGCGCTGGCTCTCAAATCCCAATGAACGCTTGCTTCTGATAACAGTCAATCAGACAGGATATTTCCAGCCCATGCTGAAGGTAAAAGTCTTTGAGTTCTTGTCTTTCAGGGCGGGGCTTTCAAATGGGCGTGGCTTAAACAACCCAAGGGGGTGATAATACAACTGAAACGTGTACAGCACTTGCTGTAATTTCTTGAATTTCGATAATCATTTGTGCATAAAAGACCAAAAGAGCACGAATTTGTGATTAAAGGAGTTATTTTGTCACTTAATCTGGATTTAAAATAGTCACATATTGAGAATATGCTGAATCGTACACCACTTGTGACCATAATATCGTTGCCTTGGCGTGTAACCCAATCCAACATTTTCCAGATTACCCCATCGATAAAGAGCAAGACGTGCTACTTTATACGCAAGACCCTCCCCACGTCGCTCACCAACGAGAACTACCGTGATAACATAATTTTCGGCGACACCTCCACTCGCTCCATTGAGGACTTGGCTGTGCTGGTGGAGGAGATATTCTTTCCGCTGCTGAGCAATCAGGTGAATCGAATCGATTGGCCGGAGCCAATTGCGAAGGACGTGGAGAGTCACATGCAGGAGTTGCGTGACGTGGTGGCGGAGGTTCGTGGCAACATCGTCAACAAGACCATCCTCCCCATGCCAATCACCGTGGCGCGCGTGATGGCGGCGTGCGGTGGAATTGTGGCGGGCAACAGAGATCTGTGTGATGTGAAGATGAAGAACTCCCTCGAGTGCACCATCATCAAGTGGGCATCGCAGATCAACGATGTGCTGCAGCAGAACTCCGAGACGTTCTTCGACAGCATCGGCGCTCGCCATCCCACGCCCATGATGGAGGTGAGCTTCTGGCAGGCGCGCCAGGAGAATCTCGAGAACATCTACCAGCAGTTGCAGAATGAGCGCTGCAAGGCGATAGGGAATGTGCTGGAGGCCATTGACTCAGTGTACTATTCCTCCTTCAAGATGATGTTCAAGAACGTCGTGGCGGCTCTGTATGAGTCCAGAGACATCACGCTGTACCTCCTGCCATTGGTTTGTTCACCAATCGATGTCCCTTGCAATAAGCTCACATCCTTTTCCCATCTTCCAGATAACACACTTTGAACAAGTGGAAAACACAGACTTCGCTTCCTGTTCGCCCTTACTGAAGCCAATGCTGCACTGTGTTTGTCTGACCTTTGCACACTCCAAGTACTACAACAAGACCCCGAGGATTTGTGCACTGTTCAGGATGATCGTGAATCTGCTGATAGATAAAGCCTTCAAGGCCCTGGATCCGGACACACTCTTCCGGCGCGACATGGACGAGAGCCTGGTGCTGCTAAACACAGCCCTGAGCATTCTGAATCGCTTCCAAGATCTCTTCCACATCTGTCGCGATCGCCTGCCTGAGTACACAAAGTACGGCAACACTGTGATTTGGTCGTTTCGCATGGAGACCGTTTTTGAGCGATTGATAGCCTTTCGCGAGCGTTTACTGCTGATCAAGATGATCTTCGAGACGGCCAATGATTACACCAAGCTTGAAAAGGTGGAAATTGCGGGTCTCAAGGGACGCACCATTGGCAAGAGGATCGCCAAAGTGTCCCAAGAATTCCAGGTGGCCTTCGAGAACTGGTCGACCATCAACTTCAATGCCCTGGATCCGGATCCGGCCAGAGATGACTTCACCAATCATTGGCAGAGCTTCACGAAGGAGTGTCAGACGCTGGAGAGAAAGCTCTCCTACCTCTTCGTTCAGGCCTTCGATGAGTGCCAGAACTTTGATCAAGCCTGGAAGCTCATCCAAATGATCTGGTGCATTCTCAAGAGGCCTTTCATCTACGCTGAGGTGGAGCACAAGTTCTACTCTGTGATGAAGCTGTACGAAAATCTGCTGAATCTGATGGAGTATCAATTTGAGAGAGGAGTTTCCAGCTACAAAAGCCAGGGTTTGGCTGCCTTGCCGTCAAACAGATTCTTCCCACCAGTTTCTGGCGCCCTTCAGTGGATAGACGAGCTGAAGCAGCACATTTCTGCCCCTATCAAGGACATCTCTCTTATTGACATTCCCCTCTTCACTTCTGAAGAGGGCGAGAAGATCCTCCAGCGATCACAGAAGATGCTCAGCGACATGACAGCCTTGGGCGAGTGTATCTTCGCCGAGTGGAGAGATAATGTATCCAGTGTGGTCTCCAAGGGAATCCAGAAGAATCTCTTGCTTAGACAAAACGACCTCCTATCGATCAACTTGGATGAGGATCTTGAAGTCGTGCTGAAGGAAGTGAAGCACATCAATCTGATTGGGAAAGCAGATATTCCGAAGGATGTTCTCGACATTTATGCTAAGCAAGACATCATTTGGAAGAGTAAAGTGAAATTGTCGCTGATTGTTGTGAATTACAACGCCATCAGACAAGACACCGAACCATGCGAGTACAAGTTATTCAAAGCGAGTGTCGAGGAAATCGATGAGACACTGAAGAAGGCTCTGGAGTCCTTCACATGGAAGACATTAGATCTGGAATACATTGAGATGGTGTACAAGAAAACCGAGCAGCTCAATGACAAGATACAGAAGATTCATGATAATGTGAGGGAAGCCATCTCCAGTATTAAAACGTGGGGATGCAAACCATTCTTCGAGCGGAGAGACAGAAACCCAAAGTCACTGCTGAACATCGATGAGAAGCCAGATGTGATCAAGAAGCGATCCGCAGAGTGTCTGAAGTCAACGGAAATGATCCAGAAAGCGATTGAATGCAACTTGAAGCTGTTTCGGGACAATCTTGAGGACAAGACGTTCTCTGAGAAAGGTCTTCAAGTGTCCTTTTCCGATCCCGAAGATGCCGAAGAGGACACTGAAAGCAGTCAACAGGAACTCTATTCGGAGTACAGAAATTACGTGGATGATTTGGTGCTTGTCGAGATCAAGTCGGCCATCATGAATAGTTTGCAGTTCATCAAGGCCGAAATGGAGAAACGCGGAACTTCACACACAATTCTCGAGGTTCATCTCGAGCTGCAGGATCAGGAAATGATCTTCACGCCGGATCTTGAGGAGAATTCTGTATGTGGATTCATAAGTCGCGTTGAGGAAATGATGGATGCCATCATTTCGATGGCAAACTTTGTGCCACGCGTGAACAGAGTGAAGAAGACGTACAAGGAAATTGTCAATGAAGATGACGAAATTGCAACTGTGAAGCATGAAATACGAACAAATGTGCTGAAGACCATCAAGCAGGCCAAACAGGAGGTGAAGATGTTTGAAAAGTATCGCTTTCTCTGGGTGGATGATAAGAGTCGATTTCTGGAGAAGATACAGAAAAGCAAGACGGTGACTTTTGCTGTTGACGAAGAAGCAGCGACGGAAGAAGTTGCTGTGGAAATGGAGGAAGAAGAGGACAATACGCTTGAGCAATTTCGCGAAAATGTAAGTTTCCATTAGCATTTCATCTTCATTCGTCTGAACACTCTGAAACTCATTTCATTTCATACATCATCTTCATCCAAGGCATGTCACATGCGGAATCAAGACGTTCTGTTCTAGATCGATCGCTACTATCAACTGTATGACGATATTGACAAGATAGAGGAGAAGATTGTGATTAATGGGTGGTTCAGTTTGGACGTGGCGGCTTTCAAGCAGAGCCTCTTGAACGAAGTCGCCAAGTGGATTGATGTCCACAAGCAATATCTGATGAGTGAAGTTGAGAAGCAATTGAGTGAATTGTCACAGTTTATAAGGAGTGGAATGGCAACACTCAACCTGGAGATCGACAGAGATGATTATGAGACGCTGCTGAAAGTCATGGATGTTTTAGCTCAAGTCAGAGATCGTCGGAATGACATCAATAATCTCTTTGGGCCCATTTCCAACACAATCGAGATGTTGAGGCTCTACGGAGATGATTTCAATGAAGACATTCACACGAAGGTGAGCAACAAGGGGGAGATATTGTGCCTAAATTATCTAACTAACAGCAAACTTTCAGCTTACAGATTTGCCTGAAGAGTGGAACAGAATGAGGAAATTATCGGTGCAGGTGAAGCAATCAATTGCTCCAATTAAGGCTTATCAGATGGAACAAATCAGCCAGAGAATTGTGCAATTCGACATTTATCTTCAAGTCTATCGAGACTTCTTCAGAGAATTTCCAGTAAATCCCTCCTAAAAATTCTTCTGCAAATATTCCTAATTTCACTAATGAAACACTTAAACTCATTGCAGAATTACGTGCAAACCTTCAAGGATCCCTGCTATCGGGTTTACGTGTGCTGTGATAAGAAGAACATCGAAATCACTCGTTTGGAAGATCAACTGCAATTTCTCACAGACTCAGCGCGACTCTTTGAACTTCATGCGCCGGAAAATGCAAAGGTTTTGCTGTGTCGCCGGGAGATTCGCCTGGTGAAGCAACTGTGGGACTTTGTCTTCTGCGTGGAATCGTGCATTGAGCACTGGAAGATGACGCCGTGGAAGAAGATCGATGTTGAGGAGATGGAGCAAGAGTGTAAGAAGTTCACGAAGGAGATCAGAGCCTTGGATAAGGATGTGCGCGACTGGGAGCCTTACATCTACGTGGAGATGATCTTGAAGAATCTCGTGACGTCCATGAGAGCCATCACGGAGTTGCAGAATCCAGCCATCAGGGAGAGACACTGGATTGAGCTGATGAAGGCCACGAAACTCCTGGACATCTACAAACTGGAGGATTTAATTGAGTTTCGCACAAATGAGGCCACAACGCTCGAGGGTCTTTTGGATCTGAATCTGCACAATCACGAGGAAGAGGTGAAGAACATCGTGGACAAGTCCGTGAAGGAGATGCAAATGGAGAAGACTCTCAGTGATTTGGACATGACGTGGCGAGAAATGACCTTTGAATTTGAACTGCACGAGAGAACTGAATTGAATCTCTTGAGAGCGTCTGAAGGTCTTGTGGAGACACTTGAAGACAATCAAGTGCAGCTGCAGAACTTAATTGCCTCAAAGCATGTCCACTATTTCTATCGGGAAATATCTGAGTGGCAAGCGAAGCTGTCCAATGTCGATCAAGCCACAACGACGTATTTTGAGGTGCAGCGAAAGTGGATGTATTTGGAGAATATATTCATTGGATCGGAGGATATTCGCAACCAATTGCCGAAGGACACTGAGCGATTTGACGACATTGATGCGAAATTTAGGCGTCTTTTGCAGCAAATGTCCGAGGCGAAGATCGTCATTCACATAATTGAGCTGGAAGGTTTGCATGAGAGACTTGATGATGTGCTGAAACTTCTTGTGCTCTGCGAGAAAGCCCTGAATGACTATCTGGAAACTAAGCGATTGGCCTTTCCTCGCTTCTACTTTGTCTCATCTGCCGATCTGCTGAACATCCTGTCGAATGGCAATCGTCCTGAATTCGTGGGTCGTCATCTGACGAAGCTTTTCGACTCAATAGCAAAGCTGAAGTACTTGGAGGATGGCAAAACGGCCATTGGGATGCATTCTAAGGAGAACGATGAGTTCGTGGAGTTCTGCCGGCGGTGCGATTGCACGGGAAAAGTCGAGGAGTGGCTGGGAAAGGTGACAGAGACGATGCGAAGTACTCTGCACGCACTGTTCGAGGCTTCTGTGGTGGCTTATGAGAAGAAGCCGCGACATCAGTGGATCTTCAACTGGCCGGCACAGACGGCGCTCTGTGGCACGCAAATATGGTGGACGACGGACGTTAATGTGGCCTTTGAGATGATGGAAGAGGGATACGAGACGTCTCTGAGGGAGTATCTGAAGAAGCAAGTGGCGCAGCTGAATGCTCTCATCAATCTCCTCTTGGGCGATCTCTCCATTGGCGATCGCCAGAAGATCATGACCGTTTGCACGATTGATGTGCACTCGCGAGACGTCGTGGCGAAGATGGTGGCGCAGAAGGTTGAGCAGGCGACGGCATTTCAGTGGCAAAGTCAGCTGAGACATCGCTGGGATTGCGCGGCGAAGGACTGTTTCGCCAACATTTGCGATGCGCAATTTCGCTATGACTACGAATATCTGGGCAATACGCCGCGCCTGGTCATCACGCCGTTGACCGACAGGTGCTACATAACGCTGACACAGAGTCTTCACCTCGTGATGGGCGGAGCGCCGGCCGGTCCGGCAGGGACTGGGAAGACGGAGACGACGAAGGATTTGGGACGCGCCCTGGGCATTATGGTGTACGTGTTCAACTGCTCGGAGCAGATGGACTACAAGTCCTGCGGCAACATCTACAAGGGCTTGGCGCAGACCGGCGCCTGGGGATGCTTCGATGAGTTCAACAGAATCAGTGCCGAAGTCCTGTCCGTCGTGGCAGTTCAGGTGAAGTCAATTCAGGACGCCATCAAGACCAAGAAGACAACTTTCAGCTTCATGGGCGAAACAATAAGACTAATTCCCACTGTTGGCCTCTTCATCACCATGAATCCAGGATATGCGGGTCGAACGGAGCTGCCGGAGAACCTCAAAGCCCTCTTCAGACCTTGCTCGATGATCGTCCCGGACTTTGCTCTGATATGCGAGATCATGCTTGTGGCTGAGGGATTTCAGGAAGCCAGGATTCTGGCGAGGAAATTCATAACACTCTACACACTCTGTCGCGAATTGCTGTCGAAGCAGGATCACTATGATTGGGGCTTGAGGGCCATCAAGTCCGTGCTCGTCGTTGCGGGCAGCTTGAAGAGAGGCGATCGCCAGAGACCCGAAGATCAGGTGCTGATGAGAGCGCTGCGAGACTTCAACATACCCAAGATCGTCACGGACGATGTTCCCGTGTTCATGGGCCTGATTGGTGATCTCTTTCCGGCTCTGGATGTTCCGCGAAAGCGCTCGCCGGAGTTTGAGAAACTCATCAAGAAGGCGGCAACGGAATTGAAGCTGCAAGCGGACAACAACTTTGTGCTGAAAGTGGTTCAGTTGGAGGAATTATTTGCCGTGCGACACTCTGTGTTCATTGTTGGCAGTGCAGGCACGGGAAAGACACAGGTGTGGAAGACCCTATTCCGCACCTATCAGCTGGAGAACCGGAAGCCACATTACAATGATCTCAATCCGAAGGCAGTGACGAATGACGACTTGTTCGGCATTATCAATCCCACGACCAGAGAGTGGAAAGACGGCCTGTTCTCCTACATCATGCGAGATCAGGCGAACATGGGTGGGAGTGGCTCCAAGTGGATAGTCCTCGATGGTGACATCGATCCCATGTGGATAGAGAGCTTGAACACAGTGATGGATGACAATAAGGTCCTGACGCTGGCGAGCAATGAGAGAATCGCCTTGACGAAGGAGATGAGACTCCTGTTTGAAATAGGACACTTGAAGTACGCAACGCCAGCCACAGTTTCACGCGCGGGAATCCTGTACATAAACCCTCAGGATTTGGGGTGGTATCCCTACGTCGCCTCCTGGATGGACACGCGTGATGATCGCGAGAAGATGCACTTGATTCTCCTCTTTGAGAAGTATGTGCCGCATTTGGTGACGTCGGCGGGCAAATTCAGGAAGATCACACCAATTTCTGACATCGCAATGGTGCAAATGGTTTGTCATCTGCTAGATTGTCTGCTCACGCCGGCCAATGTCCCTCTGGACAGTCCGAAGGATGTGTACGAGCTGTACTTTGTCTTCGCCGCAATCTGGGGCTTTGGCTCTGCTCTGTATCAAGACCAGATGTTCGATTGGCGCGTCGAATTCACCAAATGGTGGTTCAGTGAGTTCAAAGATGTCTCCTTTCCCGATGACATCTCCATCTTCAACTGCTACATAGACAATAGAACCCAGAAGTTCGCCAAGTGGAAGGCAATGATTCCCCAATGTGATTTGGACTTGGATATTCCACTGCAATCCATTCTTGTTCCCACCGTGGAGACGACGAGACTTCGGTACTTTATGGACATCCTCATGGAACGCCGTCGACCGGTGATGCTCGTCGGTGGCGCAGGATCGGGAAAGAGTGTGATTGTGTCGGATAAGCTGAACAATCTGCAGGATTCGTATTTGGTGACAAATGCCCCGTTCAACTTCTACACCACGTCGAACATGCTGCAGAGCGTCCTGGAGATGCCGCTGGAGAAGAAGGCGGGCAGGAACTTCGGACCGCCAGGCAATAAGCAGATGATCTACTTCATAGACGACATCAATATGCCCGAAGTGGATCAGTTCGGCACAGTTCAGCCGCACACAATCATCAGGCAATTCATGGACTATCAACATTGGTATGATAGGTCGAAATTGACCCTCAAAGAGATCCACAATTGCCAATTTGCCGCATGCATGAATCCCACTTCCGGCTCATTCACCATTGATCCGCGCCTGCAGCGACACTTCACGGTGTTCGCCGTGAATTTTCCCTCAAGTGAATCTCTGCTGCAGATCTACAGCACAATCCTGACGCAGCATCTCGAAGACAGCAGCAACAAGTTCGTGCCGTCAGTGCAGAGACTCTGCACGCAAGTCACGGACGCCGCACTCACGCTGCACACTCGCATGAGCCAGATGTTCCTGCCCAATGCCATCAAGTTCCACTATGTCTTCAACATGCGCGACTTGGCGAACATCTTCACGGGCATTCTCTATGCCACACACGAAACCTGCCCCGATGACACGTCCATGGCGCGTCTGTACATCCACGAGGCCACGAGAGTGTACAGCGATAAGTTGGTCAACATGAAGGACATCAACAGCTTCAAGAAGCTGGCCAGAGAGATTGCTCGCAAGTCCTTCGAGGACTGCGACGAGCACAAGATGTTCGAGGAGCCGCTGATCTATTGTCACTTCAGTGAGAGTCTCAGTGATCCCAAGTACATGCCAGTGAAGTCCTGGGAATCCCTGTCCAAGCTACTGGATCAGGCCCAAGTCAACTACAACGAGCTCGTGGGTCATCTGGATCTTGTGCTCTTCGAAGATGCCATGGCGCACGTGTGCAGAATCAGCAGGATCCTCGAGGCTCCGCGAGGGAACGCCCTGCTGATCGGAGTGGGTGGTTCGGGAAAACAATCCCTGGCACGCCTAGCCGCCTTCATATCCACTCTGTCTGTCTTCCAGATCCAATTGCGCAAGGATTACGGCATGCAAGATCTTCGCAATGACATTGCGGCGCTGTATCTCAAGGTTGGCGTGAAGAATGTCCCATCAGTCTTCCTCATCTCCGATGCTCAGGTGCCCGAGGAGGACTTCCTAGTCCTGATCAATGACATGCTGGCGTCTGGCGAGGTGCCAGATCTCTTTCCCGAGGACGACATCGAGAGCATCGTGGCGGCGGTGAAGAATGAGGTGAAGCAGAGTGGAATGCTGGATACGAAGCAGAACTGCTGGAAGTTCTTCATCGACAAAGTGCGACAGCAACTCAAGATTGTCCTCTGCTTCTCACCTGTTGGCTCCACATTGAGAGTCAGAGCGCGAAAGTTTCCCGCCATTGTCAATTGCACGGCAATTAATTGGTTCCACGAGTGGCCTCAGAGTGCGCTGGAGTCAGTTTCATTCAAATTCCTCTCGAAACTCAACTGTCTATCGCCGGAACTGCGCACCTCCGTGTCTGAGTTTATGGCCTACGTGCACGGCACGGTGAATGAGATGTCCGAGATCTATCTGCTGAATGAGAAGCGCTACAACTACACCACTCCCAAGTCCTTCCTCGAGCTCATATCGCTCTACTCAAAGCTGCTGACGGCCAAGAATGAGGAGGCCGAGGAGAGGATCTTCCGCCTGGAGAATGGCCTGACGAAGCTGTCAGAGTGTGCTCGCCAAGTGGACTTCCTGCAGGCTCAGCTGGCCGAGCAGGAGATCAATTTGAAGATCAAGAACGAAGCTGCAGACAAGCTGATTGTTGTCGTGAGTGCGGAGAATATGATGGTGCAGAAGGAGAAGAACATATCGGCTCTGGAGGAGCAGAAAGTGAGGCGAATTGAGGAAGATGTCTCGGTGAAAGCAAAGCTCTGCGAGGAGGATCTCAGGAAGGCCGAGCCGGCTCTTGTGGCAGCTCAAGAAGCACTTAACACCCTCAACAAGAACAACTTGACGGAGTTGCGTTCCTTCGGAGCGCCACCAGAAGCTGTGGTGAATGTTTGCGCAGCTGTGATGGTGTTGTTCGCGCCCAAGGGAAAGATCCCCAAAGATCGGAGCTGGCGAGCGGCCAAGGTGATGATGGGGAAGGTGGACACATTTCTCAATGACCTCATAACGTACGACAAGGAGCACATCCACCCGAAGGTGATTGAGGCCCTCCAGCCTTATCTGGAGGATCCGGAGTTCGATCCTGAAGCCATAATGGGCAAATCCGCAGCTGCCGCTGGCCTGTGCGCATGGGTGATCAACATAAATAAATTCTACGAAGTGTATCAGATTGTGGAGCCCAAGCAGAAGGCTCTGCAAGCTGCCCAGGATGAACTTCAGGCGGCACAGGAGAAGTTGCAGTTCCTCAACAACAAAATCCACGAACTTGAGGTGAAATTGAATGTGATAAAGAGCGAATTTGATGCCGCCATTGCGGAGAAGCAGAGATATCAGCAGGAGGCCGACAAGACGGCGTTCACCATTGATCTGGCGAATAGATTGGTTGGTGGTTTGGCGTCGGAGAATGTTCGCTGGCGCGAAAGTGTGCTCCAGTCGAAGCTGAAGATTGGAAATCTATCAGGAGATGCCTTGCTGGTGTCCTGCTTCATCTCCTACGTCGGCTCCTTCACCAGGCGCTACAGAATTGATCTGCTAGAGAAGATGTGGATTCCCACGTTCAACAGCATAACACCTCTGATTCCTCACAGTCCCGGAAATGATCCTCTGAGCCTGATATGTGACGATGCCTTGACGGCATCGTGGAACAACGAGGGACTGCCCAATGATAGAATGTCCACGGAGAACGCAGCTATTCTAACAAACTCCACACGATGGCCTCTTATGATCGATCCTCAATTGTGAGTATCCTTTCGCAGAGGATTCTCTATCAAATATTATCAATCTGTTTCACTTCTTTGCAGGCAAGGCATCAAATGGATAAAGCAAAAGTACGCCAAGAACTTGGTCGTTCTGCGACTGTCCCAGAAAGGATATCTGGATGTCATAGAGAAGGCGCTCACATCGGGCAGTGTCTTGCTGATTGAGAACATTGGAGAGTCCGTTGATGCGGTGCTGGATCCACTTCTGGGACGCGCTCTGATCCGAAAGGGAAAATTCATCAAGATTGGCGACAAGGAGATTGATTATCATCCCGATTTCAGGTTAATCCTGCAGACGAAGCACGCAAATCCACACTATAAACCCGAAATGCAAGCCCAGACGACATTAATCAACTTCACAGTGACAAGAGATGGACTTGAGGAGCAATTGCTGGCTGGCGTTGTGAAGATTGAGAGGCCAGACTTGGAGAAGCAAAAGGCGGATTTGACAATGCAGCAGAACTCCTTCAAGATCTCCCTCAAACACTTGGAGGACGATCTGCTCAGGAGGTTGGCCAATGCTGGTGACAACGTTCTGGAAGATCCAACGCTTGTATTCAATCTCGAGAAGACCAAGAAAACCGCCGCTGATATTGAGATTAAAGTGATCGAAGCGAAAATCACATCTTCCCAAATTGATATTGCAAGAGAAAATTATCGATCAGTGGCTGAGAGAGCATCGATTCTGTACTTCATCCTCAATGATCTCTACAAGATCAATCCGATCTATCAATTCAGCTTAAAGGCCTTCGTTGTGGTGTTCCACAAGGCCATCATCAATGCACCGCAGACGCCAAAGATCAACCAGAGAGTGATTAATCTCATAGATTCAATTACTTTTGCTGTATTTCAGTACACTTGTCGGGGGCTCTTTGAGCGAGACAAGTTGATCTTCATGGCACAGATGATGATACAGATTCTCTTGCATGCCAGTGCAATTAAGCAAGTTCAGCTGGATTTCTTGCTGCGATATCCTTACATTCCCAACACAATCTCCCCATTTGACTTCCTGTCCAACACTTCGTGGGGTGGAATTAAGGCTTTAACACTCATTGAGGACTTCCACGGACTGGATAAAGACATCGAGGCGTCGGCGAAGCGCTGGAAGAAGTTCATAGAGTCAGAAACGCCAGAGCGAGAGAAACTCCCGGGTGAGTGGAAGGCCAAGAGATCCGTCCAGAGACTCTGCATCATGCGAGCTCTCAGGCCGGACAGGATGACTTATGCTGTGAAGGTGTTCATTGAGGAGAAGCTGGGCTTTCAGTATGTGGACACCAAGATCATTGACTTTGCCTCGTCGTTTGAGGAAACCAATGCAACGACGCCCATCTTCTTCATTCTCTCGCCAGGCGTGGATCCTCTGGTCGAGGTGGAGAAGCTCGGGCAGAAGTTGGGCTACTCCATGGAGAATGGGAACTTCTTCAACGTCTCGCTGGGACAGGGTCAGGAGGTCGTGGCGGAGGCTGCAATTGATGAATCTGCCAGGCACGGTCACTGGGTGATTCTGCAGAATATCCACTTGGTGTCCAAGTGGCTTCCCACATTGGAGAAGAGAGTTGAAGCCTCCAGCGAGATTGCACACGACAACTATCGCTTGTTCTTGAGCGCAGAACCAGCTCCATCCGCTGAATACCACTGCATTCCTCAGAGTCTCCTTGAGTCGTCCATTAAGATCACAAATGAGCCACCAACCGGCATGAGAGCCAATCTCCATCAGGCGCTCAACAACTTCAGCCAGGACACGCTGGAAATGTGCACGAAGGAGCCCGAATTCAAGGCCATTCTCTTCTCCCTGTGCTATTTCCACGCCGTCGTTGCCGAGAGGAGGAAATTCGGGGCGCAAGGATGGAACAAGAACTATCCGTTCAATGTGGGTGATCTCACGATCAGTGTGTACGTCCTGTACAACTATCTGGAGGCCAACAGTCGTGTGCCTTGGGAGGATTTGAGGTATCTCTTCGGCGAGATCATGTACGGCGGCCACATCACGGATGACTGGGATCGACGGCTGTGCAAGACGTACTTGGAGGAGTACTTGCAGCCTGATCTTGTGGGTGGAGAGCTGCACTTCTGCCCAGGCTTCCAGGTTCCACCCAACTCAGACTACACAGGCTATCACAGCTACATTGACAACAATCTCCCGTCAGAATCTCCTCATCTCTACGGCCTGAATCCCAATGCTGAGATAGGATTCCTCACGAGTGTGTCAGAACACCTGTTCCGGACAGTTCTGGAGCTTCAGCCACGAGAATCTGCGTCCAGTGCCGGAGCGCCAATCCTCAAGGAGGACGCCGTGAGGATGATCATTGAAGATCTCAGCGATAAAGTTCCCGATGAGTTCAACATCACCGAAATGATGGTGCGCGTGGAGGAGAGATCGCCCTTCATAGTCGTGGCGTTTCAGGAGTGCGAGCGAATGAATATCCTGATGAGGGAAATCCGGAGGAGTCTGCGGGAGCTACACCTGGGACTGAAGGGCGAATTGACGGTGACGGCTGAAATGGAAGTGCTGCAGGAGGATCTGTTCTACGATCGCATTCCTGAGTATTGGGAGCGATTGGCCTATCCCAGTTGTCTGGGATTGCAGTGCTGGCTGGCGGACTTGATGCTGCGCTTCAAGGAGCTCGAGCAGTGGTCATCGGACTTTGTTCTGCCCTCGTCTGTCTGGCTGGGTGGCTTCTTCAATCCTCAGAGCTTCCTCACCGCCATCATGCAGCAGACGGCGCGGCGGAATGAGCTGCCCTTGGACAGGATGTGCCTGACTTGTGAGGTCACGCAGAAGTTCAGGGAGGACTTCACGGCTCCGCCAAAGGAAGGGGCCTTCATCAATGGCCTGTTCATGGACGGCGCCCAGTGGGACATGCTGGAGAATGCAATGATCCCTGCCCGGCTCAAGGAGCTCTCCAGCATGATGCCAGTGGTGTTCGTGAAGGCCATAACACAGGACAAACAGGATCTCAAGAACATCTACGAGTGTCCAGTGTACAAGACACGCGCCAGAGGATCGACTTACGTCTGGACCTTCAATCTCAGGACGCTAGAGCGCTCCTCAAAGTGGATTTTGGGTGGAGTTTGCCTACTTCTACAGACATAGGTTATGAGCTTAAACTCACCTGCTTCGCCAGTTCGTACAATGCAAAGGACATCGTGGCCGATGATGTCTCGAAGCCCGCTGTGAAGAAGACGCCCGCTTGCGCCACAAGGACATCACCTTGGAACACAATGCGATCTTCCTTGTCCTGCTTCGCATTCTTCATGGCTATGAGGATGTCAATCAGATCATTGCGCGCCGTTCCACTTCTCTCGCGCTCCGACATGACGTGATTCATGGTTGATCTGAGAAAGTGTGTTGTGTCGGCGGAAAACACCTTGAATCTGAAGAGTGGCACCAATTCGGGCAAGAAGAAGAAGCTGTTCAGCTCCAGCGCTCGTCTGAAGTTGAAGTCAAAGACATTCCTGCCATTGCGACGAAAGTCTGAGTTTGGATTAATCATGCTGTGCGCCTCGATGCCGTAAGCACAACTTGCGATGACGTCTGTGGTGAACAGAGCGCAAAACTCCTTCATTTCCGTCGTGAAGGAGTTTGTGTCTGCCTTGAGAGATTCTCTGTGGAGGAACTTCTCAAGATCCGCCGCCACGTCCATCATGAGCGCGAAGAAGTGACGCATTTTGCCCGACGTGAACACTGGAGACAATCTCGAGCGCATTTCCTTCCACTCGGGATTTCGCATCATAAACAAATTATTGCTTCCCAAAGAATCTGAGTGAGCATCAGACGAAACGTGCCTGAGAAGTTAATAGCTTTTGTGATTAAATGTTTCAAAAACAAATGAATAAAGCGAAATATCGGAACCTGTCTGAGAAGTTATTGAAATCCTTCACGAGAACACGCTTAATCAACTCAGGATCTTTGATTACGATTGCGGGCTTGTGGAAGCAATTGATTCCCACCACAGGTTCGTCCTTTGTCTTCTTGTCATAGTAGAGATCCTCAAAGACACTTGCCGCAGACTTTCTGAACGCAAAGATTTCCCAAAAATTGCCAAGGAGAGGAACAGGAGACGGAATATGAGGAATTCCACGATCACTCCAATACTTTCTAGCTCGATTTGCCCAATAGAAAGCCAAAGTTAGAAGAACTAGCACGAAGAATAAGAACATCATAGCGCAAATTTCACTGTGTAATCACTTCACAATTTCCCAAACTCAACTCAACTGCGAAATTTTTGCTGCCGAATTCAATTTTATTAAGCAAAATATCAAGTCATGGAGAATAAAAATATTGTTTTCTTGCAACATTAAAACCAAATATCATTTAATTGCTATATATTTTACACAGTAAATAACACATTTTTGGGATTTCTTATTCAGGTCACTTCTATTTGCCACAAAAAAAGACAATGACAAGAAATATAGAAAATGATAGTTTTCTTGATTGAAAAATTATTATTTTATTCGCGTTATAAGCTGAAAAGCTCCTCGATAAGACTAAAATTTTGCTGATTTCATGCTTCAGAAGAGCATAATTTCACAGAAACCAAGCAAAGCTCAATAATTTCTTTTCTTGCAATTAATTTAGAGAAAAAAAGAGAAGAAAATCTTCAAAGGTACGCAAAGTTCGATAGAGAAACTCGTGCGATATATATTTCCTCTCTGCAATACCGACAATTGAAAAGTAGTTCAGCGAAGACACACGAGAGCTTTCACACGTCAAAAGCTCCGCAAATACATATTCACCCAAAAAGGCAACCAAATTTCCTCCGTCAGCAACATTTCGGCCGTGAAGAAGTGAAAAGACAGATTTTATTTCACTTTTGAATCACTTTATTATCATAAAAAATCTCTTTCTTGATTTTTTTTGTATATTTTATTTTCCTTTTTTTTGTCAGCATACCTTTTTTGTGGACTTTTCATCTTGTCAATTTTTATCATTTCTTAGTACATATATATATAAAAAATCTATAATTATAAATAATTCGTTCGATTCATAGAAACTTTAATTTTTTTTTGTATTCTTTCCATTCATTTATCATCAAATCGAGAGAAAATACATAAAATATCGTCACATTTTGTGTGTATAATAATTTTGACAAAAATAATAAAAAGGTGAAATGAATATTTTTTTTCAAAGATCTCACGAATAATCGTTTAAAAAAAAGTTGAAGAAATGCCTCTGCATGCGTGTGAATGTCAAAGAAAAGTCTCTCGACGACACCACATTTGAAAAGGCATTGATTTTATCATGTTTTGTAAAATATTTCAAATTGTAATGTATACATAATATTAAAAATCACAATATGTTAGACTTGATCAAACACGTAATATATATATTTCATCTTCTCTTATATCAATTGAGAAATAAAGGTGTCGGTTTACTGATTCAATGCTCAAAATAGGTTATGTACTCGTTAAATTGGTTGTTTTCTGCTGAGAAGGTTAATTCCATATGGTTCAATCTACTATTTCATTATAATATATTTCTATTTTTTCCATTTTGACATCCATTATAAGTGTGACACATGCAATAAGGGGGGTAATATTGAGTGATTTCATATCCATTGTTCCAATATTCTATGTGAAATGAGTTATTTTTACTCCATTTTTTTTATTCAATTAATCCTTTACTTTTCTGCTTACGAGTGCATTTCTCTCACCGATCTTGCAAGATTGGTCTTCTCTCTCTCTCTCTCTCTTTCTCTCTTTCTATAATTGTATTTTTCACGGTGGCTCTTTCGCATCTTCATCATCATTCCTTGATATCTTCTCATCTTCCTTGAATCAATATTCCTTAAATATTATCACGAAATATACTATCACTTTTTTTATTCATTTTTTCTTCTTTTTTATATACTCACAATTATATTTGTTTTGTTTTTTTCTTTTTATTTCTTCGTTAAATACATTTGTCTTAAAATCTAGTATGAAAAAAAAAAAACTTGAGTAAAATTGCAAAGGAAGAAATTTGGTTGGGACTTTATCTCTCTATTTTTTTTCTTTTTCTATGATATCTTGCAGGTTTTTTTTTAATGTATTTCTGTTTTGTGAAATAAACTCTTCACGAGATTTTACATCGAGAAGAGAAATTTGCAGAGAATTTGACAATTCAAAGACAGAAAAATTTAAAGGGGAAAAAATGGCATTTATGACGAAAAGGAAAATACTGAAAACATGCTATTTTCTTTGATTTCCAAGTTTTGTTTCTTCTCTAATCTCTCTCTCTCTCTCTCTCTATCTCAAATTCTTTTGTCGGTCAGTTGAAGAAAAATAAAAAAAAGACTGATCGGGGAAATCAACAACTGATTTTGATCACGTTTTGCTTCCTACGTTCTATTAATACATGCTTGTATCATCTTACAAAATATATTATATCAAATACATTATCAATAAAAATCATCATGTCAATCCCAATGCAAGTTTACTTGTATTAGAATGACACTTAATCCCGAACGTCGGATCATCGCGGAATCCATAATTCGGGACTTCTTGTACTTGAGAAAGTATCGAAAGAAACTTCTGCAAAGTTCTTCTCTGTGTTTTTTTTTTCCTCCACACTTCTTTCTATATTTAAAAAGAAAAAGTTCTCCTGCCGAAAAAACGCGCACGCACTTCTTTTTCCCTCTTACAAAAGGGGTTCAATGTAAAAAAAAAAGAGAAAAAAATATTGTAGTAAAAAAGAAAATAAAAATCTACAGGACTCTCTACAAACGCAATCGTCAAACGTTTATTCTGATTACTTGTTTTTTCTTCTTCTTTGTTATCCATCGAGAATAGCACACACATTCATACATTTAATATCTTTTCTCCTTTCTTCTTCTTCTCTACAAAAATCCTTGCATGATCTCTTCCTCGTCCACCGCCTGCTGTCGCGTTAAATTCCACCCTTTCTCTCTGCTCTTGCTTTAATACTAAGATGTTTTTGTTTCTATCATGTATCATATAAAATTACTTACACATCTACTTTTATTAATCACATGGTGGGATAACTCGTATTGTGATCAGGAATTCAAATAAATAACAAAAAAATATAGACTTTCTTCTGCTGTCGAGACAAGCAAAAGCTAAGAATGAAACGGTGTTACCAATTAGCATGCTTTATCTCATCATGAAGAAAGTGCTGTGTGATTGAAGGGTCGCGGATGATTAAAAATGGTGATAAAATGTCGATGACCAGATTTGAAGGGACAATTTTCGTCATATTTAGAAAAGACCAGAATTTCTCAAGAATCGCGCGCATTCATTGTTTTGTTTTGTTTTTTTCTTTACCTCTCTAACATTTAGAAATATTTGAACTTTAATTGGATCACATTAATTTTAACTTCTTTTTCAATTTCATGCCAGCAAACTCTCTTTTTGCATCAATTAAACAACACGCCATTGGAGAGGAGTTCTCTCTCTCTCTCTCTCTCTCGTTTCTCATCGGATATTGCAAGTATTTTTTCGCTGTTTAGCCTCTAAAAATTTTTTCAAAAAGAATTTTTCTCTCCATTGCTCTCAAAAGTGCCTTTTTTGGTGGGGACAGGGCGCAACTGTTGCCAGCTCAGCTCAGACAATGTAATTCAAATTATTGTAGCTTTGAATTAACCGACAGTGCGCTTTTAAAGGTATTTTAAAAAAAAATCTTATAAGTATTAAAGTGTGAGGGGTTTTCTTACTTTTCAGGGGAAGGTGGAAAGAAAAATTAAATCGCTTGTTAAAAGAAAACTGAGATTGTAATATCTCTCTCGTGCCCCGATCACAATGTAGTATTCTCGTCACATTACTATAAATTCTCAGCAATATATATATATATATTCTTCGAGCATATTCAGTATGCAATAACCACTACCAATGTTATTACATCAATATAAATACACTTAGTTTTTTTCCACTTACATATATTGTGAGTTTACAATGTGCCTCTTTTCATCTTCATTGAAAACAATCTTTTTTTTTCACCTCTCCTTCAAGTGCAATTAGAAAATACAGTGGAGATGATTGTGTGAATGCAGAACAATGAGTGCTTTTTTTCCCTCTCTCTCTCTCTTCTGGAGTTGAAAAAGATTCACTTGATGTTCCAGTATTAATTGCAATCCAGAGACTCATTAAGTCGGGAATTTAGAGATAAAAAGCATCTGCACAATCATCACAGCTTAGCAAGTGTGCTGAACCTAATTCTCTTTCAGTTTAATACTCTAGGTGTTGCACACTTGCTTAGGCTGTATTTTCTGTTCTCAAAAAGAAAAAAAATCATATTGTTTTCAACCCCTCTTCATCTCCCTCACTCTCTCTCTCTCTCGCAATTCCATCGCAAATTCTAAGTATTTTCACACTAAATGCGAGACTCTGCGCTTCACTTTGAAAGCAATAATTCTTAGAAGAAAAAAAAGATCGTCAGGGTAATTAATTGAGGAAAATAATATGCAAAAGATTCATCTCTTCAGATAATATCGATCCTCCTTGCTCTCAATCGTTTGCACAAAATAAGATCATATTTGCATATATATAGTTTATATATCCTTAAGAACTATTACGATAGGTTCCACCTAATGCATGCAAAATTCTCTCACAAAAATTTGTTTTCTTCCTCCTTCACTGTAAATTGGTTTCTCCATCTCGCATTGTGTATGTTTTTTTCTTCTTCTCTCTTTCCACTCCTTAACCCGACAAATTGCTAGGATCGTGTGATCCTAAAACAGCACGATAAAATTCACATATGATGGCGCTCTCTTTCTCTCTCTCTCATCTCAGAAGAAAAACTTATCCCCGAATGATAAGTGAAAAATTCCTTAACAAAATGATGTGTGTGTGTGTTGGCTTACTCACTGAAGGAACGATACAATTTGTTCTTTGTTAAATTGAAATCTGGACTTATCATTATTGTACTTCCACGGGCCAAATTCTTGAGAAATTGTGGCAATATTGACGTCCACCCACTCCTGTCCTGCTTGAGAGTCAGGTAAAGCTCAAAAGTTGATACTGTGCTAGGATCGGCCTTCAGCGTGGCAATCCGCCTGCGGGAGACGCAAAAAAGGGATAGAAATACGGATTAGAAAGGGGATCAATTTAAAGGGAGGCTAGGTGGGGATGAATTACCTTGAATTGCTAGGCTCCTCCTCGAATTCAATGTAAATTGTACAGCCACGAATACCACATGGTTCCTTCTCCGACATGGACAGCATCTCCGATGCCACACGCCGCAGGAGGTCAGCTGGCAGGAGGACCTCGGTGCACGCTAGGTGCCGACTCTTGGCCGCCTTCAGCTCATTCTGGAGGCGCAGCGACAGGGCCTGCAGCGCATCCTCGTGCTGCTCCTGCGACTGCTGATGGCTTGCAGTGGGTGGTTGCAATGGTATGATCCAGTCTAGAATTATATCAGAGAGATTTTCCCAATCAGATCCAGCCTCACACTCTTGTGCACAGCCAATTAATTCAACCGACTGCCGGCGAATAATCGAGAAGCGAAGCAACTACCCAAGTCTAAAATTACACTCCTCAATCTTGATACCCCGTTGAGTGTTTGCGATATGATGAAACTAGACTAGCGTACATTTTTAATTACTCCCGACAGCCGAAATTCACATGGGAGAGCGGGCGAGAGATGCAATGGTAGGGCATTGGGGAACGGAGCACCCCCCCCCCCACTCCCCACCCCCAAAGGGCTGCCGAAATGTTGCAATCAAGCCCTCACACCCCGGCTGCGGAAGAGCGGCCTCGAAGGCACCACCACAGCCACACACACACCGAGTGTTCATATGGGGGAATCAGCTGAACAAAGAAATGCCCAATGCGCAAGCGTAGCAGTGCCATAGAGAGAGGCAGTAGTACATAGGCTCTATGTTCTAGGCTGCACATAGGAATATTGTCTCTCCGCGCGCTCTGCCATCTCGCTCGCGCACCCTTTCGCGATGTCGAAAAGTTCTGCTATTCTTATTCCATTGTTTTCTTCCTCTTCTTTCCCACTTTTTTTTCTGTGTATTATGTATATATACATAAAGGGGGGACCCGCGCAGCGATATAGCATTGTGATATATCAATATGAGGCAGAGTACATAGCGACTCTTCTATGTCATATATAATTTTTTATTCATCCATTTTGAAGGTTCTCCCAATAATTACATCTCTCTCTATATTCCAAGAGAGAGAAAGAGGGGGGGGGGGGGGGGGGCAAAAAAAAGAAGCATTTTTTGACCAATTTTTGACACTCTCAGTCCGCTGACGGACACTCGCGAGCCAGCTGTGTTGGTGCCGAAAGAGTTGCCTGTGTACGTGACTCTATGAGAGTGCCGAGAAAGTTCGCTTAGCAACAGAGGCAATTTTACCCATTTGACCGAGAGAGGGAGAGAGGAGATATATGTGGTGGAAGAAAAAAAAAATCATATGAATGGCTTTTGAATATGAACGGGAACGGTAGGAAATTATAGAGAGGCTGATGTAATAAAAAAAAATCGCTTTCACTATACAATTACCAATACAAGAGAGACTCGGGCTCTTTTTTCGTATGTGCTATTATTAGAAAATATTGTTTTGTACCACTCTGAGTGCATTCGGCGAGATGTTGAGTTGGTAAATGGCGAGAAAGGGCAAAAAACTATCGGCTGATCGGTTGAATTGAGAAGTGGGGAGAATATGTGGAGATTATAGGGCTCGCGAACTCACCTTTGACATCCAATTTAGTCGGGCCGAACTCCCGTTGAAACATACTTTGTACTGACAACACCTCCATTTTCATTGGTCTCTCAACAATATCGAAAATCTTGGTTTGATTCTTCTTTCTGCCCCCTATTTTGCTCCTCTTTTTTTTGTAGATTCTAACACAGCAATTGACTGCACTTCGTCTTGGCTGTCCTTGTTCAGGCCTTCTTTGGAATCTCTGTCCTTTCTGCAGATTTCTTCCTCTTCTCTTCTCTTGATGTTGGCGTTCACAAGTCTTCTCTCGTGTCTTTTTTTTTTCTCCAGAAATTTAAGCGGCAGATAGACTTTTCACAGCACTTAAATATCACCTTGATATCGTATTGTTACACATGTAATTAAAAATATAATTTAAAAAAGTCATCTAGCAACTGTGATATCGAACTGGATGCTGAAGGATATCTGCAACTTCACTCGCGACTCATAATTTTCCCCGGGATAGTGTGTTGAGAACGCGGCTCAGGGGCTTTCTTATCAAGGAACTTCTTCTGACTCTCTATCTCTCTTATGCCTGGGCTCCTTGGGATTTTGTGTGTGAAATCAAAAACGTAATTCAGCGTATTAACAACAACATAACAAGTAAGAACGCTCTGGATTGACTGACCCGGCCGGTGATTGTTCGCGCAGTTTTATAGCTTCGGATCCCACTTCCCCACCACATCAACCCAGAATACGTGACTGATGTACACACACTCGGCATGCGCACACCAACAGCCCTCCTTCGTTTCTACTTAACACACATTAACACCACTCTTGTACATCGCACTATATACACGCCTGATTTACATTGATCGCCTATGGGTAAGATGTAGTCATACATTCGCCAGCTTGTTACACGCCGAAGAGGAGGGAAGAGCCGCGCACTCAATGCAGCAGAAAGAGACGCATGACCAACATAATGCCACCTTTGCTCACTGGCAAGGGAACCTTCTGGTGGCGTTGATGGATGACCAGAAAACTGAGCTCATGCCATGCATCGAAACATTATAGCGCTGTAAATCCTCCATATGCATTTCCTGTAAGGCTTTCGTGCGGTATAACCTAAACATAACCTCAACCAAATTCTAGCTCTTGAGTTAAGATTAGCGCTGAACAAATTGTGGAGCACGATTGGATAAAATAACCGGAGATATAAGATTGTGCAGAGAAACACGACTTTCAAACTACGTAGTCAAATGACAGTTAAATCACAGTCAAATCATAGTCAGATCACAGTCAGTTAATATCGGAATACAAATTGAGGTGAGTAACTATCCGGGAGCTCAACTGCTGGCAATAGCTAGACCGTTGTTCGCCGGTTCGCTTAAATCGGTTTCGAGTAAATAGGTAGATATAAAGTAGATAGAAGTGGCAGCATACATAGACGCAAGATTTTGTTCTTTGTGCACAGTGTACAAAAATGATGTGTACCTAACCATCATTTGAAGCAGTTTCCTTTTACATAAGGGAGAGGCACAAACTGAAATAAATTGCTGTGCCAGAGTGAGACACAGAAGAGTGCTATAGGAGCTCTACATGGGCTTTTTTCTGCCTTCTCTTGTGCCTCTCTTATTTGTATAAATACATACAAATGTTCTCTGGCTGTAAACAACTTCACAAATAGAACATTTTCTCTGCTAAATCATAAAAGCAATATTCTCTCTTTTTCATGCTTTATTCTCGAAAAGGCCATAGATAAAAAAGACACACTGTGAGTCTTCTGCAAATGTTCATGTTGCAGTTCTTCTTTGATATCATCTCTCTTGGTTGATTTCTAGGTCTCCCCTTTGGCTGATGGCAATGTGAGCAGAAGGGGGAGAGTGTGAGGTGAATATAGGAGCAGTCCTTTGACGTCGATAGCTTTATAATGATGTGAAGAAGAAAATAGCAATCTTCTGGGACGAGTTTAATAAGTGCGTGCCATTGGCAGAAATAAGAGAAAATTTGCCTCTCTTGCAGTCAAAGGCGAAGAAAAAGTGCCATCGTATGATCGCATAAGGGGACAACAACTGGCGGAATGTGGCACAGCAGATGTGTGACTGTTGGGAGAGCGTGCAATTGTAATTTCCAAAATTTATGCAACTTAGATATGCACTAAGGGAAGGGGTGCAAGCGCAATTCAAGTGTTAATTCGCCACTGTGACCAAATGCCTTGTTCCGGTCATGCAGCAAGCATGCTCTCGCGCGGTGGACAGATTGTGGACTTATCAACGATCTGGTAGAGTTTCAAGTCAAAGAATATTCCAGAAAGTACTGGAAACACGCGTATCAGAAGTTGCTCGCCTCCGATATCGCGTGCTAATCAACGATAAATGCTCCTACAATTGTGTCAAACCATACACAGTTGCTCACACACACACACACACACACACACACACACAAAGCCAACCATTCCATCTTGAGATGCTCTGGAAAAATATAGCTGCGCAAAGAAAGGTACGGCAATCCGTTGAAATTTCAACATTTCACAATGATTTCAGCAAGATTTCATCGCAGAAGCACCGCTTAGTATATTTCTCATGGCAGTTCTAGAGTCGCTTGTGCTGGATTTCGCTGCCATCTTGGATTTCGAGACTCTTAAATTAAAAGCACATTTTTATTAATCCCCATATAATTGCAAAATATTGCTAGAAATTCACATTTCAGTTGTATTTAAGCTCTATTTCATAGATTAAAAATGTGACATAGTCATTCAAACGCCAAATATTTTCACTAACTTTGAGCGTCGGTCGGCCATTTTGAAAAATCAGTCACTTTACTCTCTTTTCTCTCTAAGCTAGATCAGTGGATAGAGAATTAACTTGGCAATCTGTGTAGGATGTTCAGTCCTTCCAAACTGAAACTCTTCAATCAATCCAACGGCTTTTGAAAAATTCCCATTATTTCCCCTGAAACATTCGACCATTTGTCCCGTATGCGTGTGCCATACAGAACTAACCGGTAGCAAAGCTGGCGTATTGAATTCTGTCGGAGCAAGTGAGACCGATATGGCTGCAATTGAAATGTGTGGCGATATTTTGGAAGTGTAATTAAACAGTTTTATTGAAGACGGAACAATGAAAACACGGAGAGGATGTTTTTCTCTCCGCGATGCCTTCCTTTTTCTCTCTTTTTTTTTCTTTGTATCCCCAAAGTTAAAAATAAGGCATCTCTCGAATGGAGTGCCATGGGGCCCGATGTTTGTACCATTCGACTTTCAAGCCCATATGTAAGAGATCGAATTATATACAAAATGAACACAGGCTTATGTGCGAGTCGCATTTGTATTTTGTGCACATATTAGATGCGATGTGGAACTGGAAACCTGTTCTTTCTCTTTTGGAACAAGTTTTGTGTATATGGTGTGTTTTATTTCTTTTTCAGCGCTTTTTTCTCGCTGTGCTCACTTCATATGCGAAGCCTATCGAGGTGAAGACGGGGCGAGGCGGTGAAGAAGGTGAGGAGAATCGAGCGAGAGGAGAAAAAAAGAGTGACAAACAATATGGAGAGGAATATGGGGAAAAATACTGGGTAGATCTCTCATCCGTGGAATTATTGTGCGAAAAGAACACACCAGAGAAACTCTCCACACACTCTTTCTGGGCTACGTAAGCCAGGGAGCCCTGGGCCTGGGATGTTGGAGTCTCATGCGTTGCACTCTTGATGACTCTGAGAAAGGACCAACGCATCGCCACGCACCACTCATCTCTCGCCCCTTTGTCTCTCACAAATATCTGCCATGACACCAGAAGCGCGAGTGACCATTTTCAGATATGCAAATTGCCATCAACAGAATTTTCCGCTCTTGGCGCGTCCACAAAAAAAAGACCGTCTACTGAATATGGGAATTAATTTGGAAAATCACCTCACCATGTCTCGGTGGATGAATTTTGATTGTTGTCCACCTATTTTTGTTTGTGAATCTGACGCAATATTGCTCGTAGTGTTTATCATTCAATGAAAATAAAATATATCCACCGCGAGGGAGGGTATTTTTATTCAAATGTATAGTGCGCGCCATTCAGTCAAAAATGCCTCTGCAGCCATTCAGATGGATTCTAATATATTTGTTTGCGAAGCCAAAAGAATTTTCGGGCATGTCTCACAACCAACAACACCGCTGATAGTCTTGTCATCGGTTCTGCACAGCCTTGGAGAGGCGGTTGTTGCATAACTTTGGATGAAAAGTTCAAGAGATGTATAGCATATGATTAAACCCCTGTGGTTTGCTCAATTCTAAGTCTATTTTCAAGATGTTGGATGCATTCGAGAGCTGATGAAATCAGCTAAAACTCTCCCGAAGAGACCTAAAGGGGTTTTCCCAGCGGAAATCCTCCGAAATGCTACGCGAAAACACCCCAAAACTACCGCATCGACCCAGTAGTATCGCCAAAGCGAAACTCCGCGCATAGTCGTAGATGCGTAATGGTGCATGTTCAATAGGCATAGAAGGAAGGCCCAACTGAGCGCGTACATTTGAGGGTTTTCTTTGTTCTCCGCCACAAGGGCACATCGAAGAGTCCGTGGTAAGGGTGAATTGGGTGTTGTGTGGAAATTATTATGATGAGTTTTATAGGTATTTTCATTCACCAAATTACTAGGGTATTCCAGCACCCTGTTGATTTACTGCCGAAGAGGGAAAATAGTTTTTACGACTCACACGATATATTTTAAAAGGTCTCTTCCAAAGCGACAAAGACCCAAACAGAGAGAGAGAGGAAATCACGGATGGAAATGCTTCGCAGGAGGGCGAAATTCTTGCCATTCAATTTCACCCAATGTGCGCGCATATGAAAAGGGGAAAAAAATCGTAAAATTATAGATGAATAAAACGGAAACAAAATGATATTACGCGGTATGAAAAATTCCCTTAAATTTCCATCACTTTTACGGTTGTGCCTCTTCTCGAAAGTATTAAAATTTTTATTGCCTCCGACTGCCAAAGACACAGTGTGACAAAACCTGGGATTTTTACGACTGCTAAACTCTCCTATCAAAATGATGCAATTTTTCCGTCTCATTGCCGAGCATTCTTGCGTTTGTATTTTTTTTTTTTTGGGAAATCTCCAAGGTGAGCATGGGAATGAACGTTGCAAATGGCCACAAATGATGCAATCAGGCAACATTGAGTCCTTTAATCTATTTAATTAATATTCCATTGTGCTCCTCACATGAGCTTTCGCCATGTAATGACGCCAGAGGGTATTATCCTGTCATTCACAAGCCTGTGTGCCTATTGAAATGGCAACTGCAATATGGGACTTTGCAGGACTTTTCACTGGCCAAGCACAATGATTTTTCCAGTCAAAGGAAAATCATTCTATTGTCCACACCACCTGTGCGCTTAATTGCATGTGAAATGCTCATACAATGGTTTTGTCCACTGAAATCCACCGAACAGCAATTTTTAATGCAGTCCAGTGAATTTGGCAGAATTAATTATACACTTCGGTGTACAACATATATGATATGCTAATAGTATTTTGGCTTTTTCAAAGCTCCGCATGCAACCGAACGCCATGATAATCTCGTGTCTTTGTTGCATCAGATCCTCTTTCTCTCTCATCTATGCTGATGCTTTTGGGATTTTGCTGATGGAGAACATATGAACCGCACATGTTATGCAATCCCACTGAGTATGGTGTGTATGTCTCATAGGAAAGTCTGGGGGAGAGAATCAATCGTGAGAATCTGGGAGAACATGCGTGCCTTGTGAGGGGAGAACTCCAGCATTCCACACGCTAGTCGGATGGAAATTCCTCAAATTGCATTTTCTCGCTTTGTTCATTGCGATTGCTGAAAGAAAACGTCATAGAATGAGATTTACAATTGTTTTCTTGCCATGACTTGAAGCAGTGACATCTGAATGTTCGAAGATATGACTGATAAAAATAGCGAATATTGGGGGAAAAATGTGTTTTTTTTTGGCATTGTTGAAAATCAAAATTGCATTTGGCACTGAAATGGCCAAAAAGCTAATCCAAATACGCTGTATACACTTCAATTTTATTCACTTGGACCATAAAGTGCTGCGCTGTGGCGATGGAAAAGTGCACATAAAGTGCAAAAGTGGCAAAAATGATTTGCAGAAAAGGTTGTGTCGTGTGTGTGTGCTTATGATAAATGGAAAATACGGAGAAAGAGGGAGAATTTATTGCTCTGTCGATGGAAAAAGTTTCCTCCCTTGGCAACAAGAGCGACCGGTGGAACTTTCTAGCCCTATTGGCTGATGCAACACGGCCAAAAAGTACATGCGAGAGAGGAGTAATTTATTCGAGCCTCGCATGCAGAAGGGCAGGCAGGAAAAAATGAATATTCTCGCCATGGCGATGGTGTTCTGACAATGGTCACGTTTGCCACGGCATAAAATAACAAGTTGTGTGCAGCAGAGAGCAAGAAGACTGCGTGCGAGGCGCGGAGTGATGCAATGTCAATATCACTCTTTCGGGAGAACGAGGCGAAGCTCTGGGGCCGCGATAAGGGGCAATTGTGGGGCCAGAAGTCTGACTGCCATGGACTGATGTTGGGATGTTTATTAGACGGAAGTCGAGAGAGTCTGTCAGACGAAATGAAGAATTTATTTCACACACACACACCATTCCCCACTTGCCCTCTCCTCCTCTTCCTCCCGATTATAATTAAACTTTTTACGCCGATTCCGACATGAAAAAACAACTCCATGTCCTTGAGCATTAAAAATAAATAAAGGAACAGAAACATAAGCGAAATTCCACTTGGGAGAAGATTAATTTCATGCGGTAGCACATAATAAAAATTCTAGTTCAACCTATTTTGATGCCTCATTTTATTAATATTTATCGGTTCAGCATTGTTGCTCGATCACGGCCGATGCTGCGGTGCAAAATAAAAATTAGGAGTTCTGCGATAAAAGTGGCTTGAAAAATATCACTGATAGCGTAATCTGTCTAATGCCAATTTCCGAAATGTAGCAAACACACGATAAGACGAAGCGTACTCAAGGAAGTTAAATAGATTGACTCACATCACTGAATGTCTGGAGGTGACCGCAGCATCGTGGGTGAAATGATGAGGCAATTTGCACTGAAGAAGTTCATAAGCGCTGCGGAAAGATCTATTAACGGCCTACAACTCTCCGGAACATGACAAAATTGCTGAATGATTCTTTCTAACAATAAGAAGCTCTCAAAACCATTACGACTATTGAACTCCCTTTAGAAACATCATACCATCTTCCATGACCTCTTTGTCCTCTTTGCACTGAAAGCTGTGCATTGCTTTTTAGTACAAAATAATCGATTCTAATCGTTCGTTCAGGTGAGAAGTTCTCTTTGTTCGCGAAAATCTGCTGCTTTTCGCAACATAAATAAAAAATGACGTTCTTTTCTGCGTTATTGAAATAAATAATTCACGAATATTGTTCCTTGCAGCTCTTTTTTCACGCCTAATTGCTTTTCGATGGAAACTTTGCACAGTTCTGGCGAAACCACGAAGCGATTCAGTCATGGAGATTTACGAGAATTTCGAGATCCTGTTCAACTTCTTTTTCCTCAACACCACTTATTTTGGGAGGTTTACGAAGAAAGTGTTCTACTTTCTTGCCTGTTTTTACGTTTTCTTCCTGACAACTGGATTCATTTCTATTGTTTACTTCTTATTTGACGACGAATCTGCAGTTCAGACAAACAAGGACGCTATATTTAACAAACTTGTACTGTTTGGATACGGTCAAGCCCTTTTTAAAACCTGTGGCATTGTGTTCTACAGTGATGATCTCAACAGTTTGCTCAAGTGGGTGCAAGACTTTCGAGTTCGGCAGTTTCAAGACATCGTTCAGGAATCAGCGAAAGTCCAAAGCAATTTGGCAAGAAAATACAGCCTAAAACTGTTGAAACCGTACATTGCGTTCCTATGTTTGGCCAGTTTCTGCGTACTATCACAACCACTACTCGACAAAAAATCTTTCGTTTCCGTTCCATTCCTGCCATCATACGATTATCCTTATGTGACTTTGGTGTTTCAAAGTCTTTCTGGAAATGTCGCAGCATTTGTGGCTTTCGCTATTGACGTGATGTATCTTCTGATTGGGATTTACATCATATTCTATTCGCGCATTGTGAAGGATGTGATAAAATCTGTGAAGAGCTTTGAAAATCACGAAGATTCACCTACAGATCATCTTCGTGTCATTCATGAATGTTTTTCCGAATTTATCGAGACATTTAACAGGTTCAGTACGGCTACTTCTCAAGTTTTCCTTGGCCAAATTACAAACAGTGTCATTCTTTTGCTGTTACTGCTTTATATAGAGCAAAAATCTCCCAATGATTGGACAATTCGCATCACAATCTGTGGTGCATGCGCGCAAGCATTCTTGATTTGCCTCCTTGGCCAAATCCTTGAGGCAGAAGCTGAGGGAATTTCCCACGAACTCTGGCAAACTGATTGGTACAATTTGAACCAGAAGGATCGCAAGAAGTTCCTTTTGAGCCTCCAAATGAGCCAACAAAGCTACGGACTGAAAGCTGCTGGCATTTACAACATCAATCTGATGATGTTCGTGCAGATCTTGAAGCTTGCCTTCAGTTACTGCGCCATCATGGAGACTGTTATAAATTAGAAAAGTACTGGAATCGATGTTATTCTGCATTGTAACGCTGGAATATCACTGAATAAAGCACATTTTGATGTTTGAGAGACAACTAGACTTTTTAATGAGGACTCACACTTACGGATTACTCTCGATTCGACGCAGAGTGGGATGAATCCACCGTGGATGAGCTTGAGTGTGTAAAAGGCGAAAATATGGATCACCGATAAATTGTGGTTGATTCACATCTTTACTCACATAAGGGTTACTCTTCTTTGTCGATACGTCGCTTTTTATTCGCCACTCTAGACACTGTGAGAAGATATGACAAAATTCGTTCCGGTGCGATCGTGTTGGAAATACCGAAAATACCAGTGAATCTTCGATAAATCAACAGATAATTTGCGTTTTACTACTCAACTATCTGTCAGTCATACACATTTGCGTTCTCGCTTATCCTCCCATGGATAAACCATGGATCTATAATCGATATACTGTAGTTTAGTCTCTTTAGAAATATCATACCATCTTCCATGACCTCTTTGTCCTCTTTGCACTCAGAGCTGTGCTTTGCTTTTGAGTACAAAATAATCGATTCTAATCGTTCGTTCAGGTGAGAAGTTCTCTTCTTTCGCGAAAATCTGCTGCTT